CTTCATCCCAGGACGCCAAAATTTCTTCTACAAGTTCAGCGGTCCAAGCTACAGCGTTGACACAGCCTGCTCCTCAGGGCTAGCGGCCCTCCATCTTGCCTGCAACTCACTGCTCAAAGGCGACATCGACACAGCCATCTGCGGCGGCACTAACGTTCTTACCAACCCCGGTATGTAAAATACACTCTATTATCACAGTGCCCGATACTAACTTCCGCCAGACATTACTGCCGGCCTTGACCGTGGACACTTCCTCTCCCGAACAGGAAATTGCAAGACCTTCGACGATGATGCAGATGGATATTGTCGCGGAGAGGGCGTATGCACAATGGTCATTAAACGGTTGGAAGATGCCAAGGCAGACAATGATCCCATTATCGCTGTGATTCTCGGTGCGTATACCAACCACTCCGCTGAGGCGGAGAGTATTACTCGACCACATATAGGGGCGCAGAAGGCTATCTTCGAGAAGGTGCTTACTTCGGCCGGTGTTGACCCTTATAGCGTGGGGTATGTGGAGATGCATGGCACTGGCACTCAGGCTGGTGAGTACTCCGGTTTCCCGATTTGTGGGAGCTCGATGCAGCTGTACTAAGTTATGTGTTTGTGTAGGTGATGCGAGGGAGATGAAATCTGTCCTGTCGATCTTTGCGCCCGAGACCGAAAGGCCGCGTGCCGATGCCGAGAGGCTGTTCTTGGGCTCAGCAAAAGCTAATGTTGGCCATGGGGAGTCTGTCTCTGGGCCTATTGCTATGATCAAGTCGCTTATGATGTTGGAACGGAACGAGATCCCCCCTCATTGCGGGATCAAGACGAAGGTGAGATGGACTTTATGCTCCTTGAATCACGAGATATTGACTCTACCCAGATCAACAGTGGGTTCCCGACGGATCTCACAGAGCGCAATGTGCACATAGCTAAGAAGCCGATTCCCTGGGAAAGGCCGGAAGGAGGTGTTCGCCGAATCATGATCAACAACTTCTCTGCCGCTGGTGGCAATAGCTCTGTCTTGATCGAAGATGCACCAGTCCCTGAGTCGAAGAGCACGGAGGCTGACCCCCGTTCCACCCATGTCGTAGCTGTCAGTGCCAAGTCGAGTACTGCGTTGGTAGCCAACATCAAGTCTCTACTGTCATACATAGCCACTGCGGAACCAGCACTGCCCTGTCTATCTTATACCACCACCGCTCGCCGTGTCCATCACCCATTTAGGGTCATGGTCAGTGGGTCAGACCTGCCCGAGATCCAGGCTATGCTGCAGAATAAGCTCGCGTCACCCACGGCTCCAAACCGAACCAAAGCTGCGCAACGTGTCGCATTCGCCTTCACCGGCCAGGGATCGCAGTACATTGGCATGGGCGAAAGCCTACGGAAATTCGGCACCTTCCGCAACGACATCGAACGATTTGACGGTATTGTACGAACCCTCGGTTTCCCTTCCTTTTTGCCGTTAATCGAATCAGGAAATGCGGACATTTCCGAGCTTCCCCCTCTGGTAGTTCAGGTTGGAACAGTATGTATCCAGATAGCTATGGCGCGGCTGTGGCGATCATGGGGAGTTGAGCCCTGTGCTGTGGTCGGTCATAGCCTCGGTGAATATGCGGCACTGAACGTCGCTGGCGTACTTTCCGAAGCAGATACTATCTTCTTGGCTGGGAAGCGAGCGCAACTGTTGCAGAAGGACATTTCCGCGAACACCCACGCCATGCTTGCTATTGGCGCCGGTGTGGAGGAAGTGAGATCACTGTGTGACGGCCTGGAATACGATATTGCGTGTATTAACACACAAAGAGAGACAGTCTTGAGCGGTACAAACGAGCAGATCGACGGGATAGTCGATGTGCTATCCTCCACGAATCTCAAAAAGACCAGACTCCGTGTTCCATTCGCCTTCCATTCCTCCCAGATGCAGTCCATTCTTCAAAAGTTCAAAACCGCGGCGCGAGGAGTTAAATTCCACGAGCCTAAGATCCCCGTAATCTCGCCTCTGCTGGGAGAAGTCCTCAGGTCGAAGGAACCATTCGGACCAGAATACCTGGCTCGCCACTGCAGGGAAACCGTCAACTTTGCAGCTGCATTAGAAGGCGCAAAGAGGGATGGGGTCATCAAAAGCGCGATGTGGGTCGAGATAGGTGCCCATCCCGTTGTGTCTGGATTACTCAGGAACAATCTCGACTCCACACTTAAAACAGTTCCAACCCTGCAGCGGAACAAGGACACCTGGAAGGTACTCACGACCAGTCTTTCTGGCTTGTACGAGTCCGGTGTAGACATCAGATGGTCAGAATATCACCGTGACTTCGTTGTAGGCCTTTCTGTCCTCCGCCTCCCATCATATAACTGGGACCTGAAAGAATACTGGATGCAGTATGTCAACGACTGGTCCTTATACAAAGGAGACGCGCAGTTCCTCAAGGGCACACCTGGGCTATCCACTACGTGCGTTCATAAGCTCGTGGAAGAGAAGAAGGACGGGAATAAAATCACCGTTGTGGGTGAGGTCGATGTCCTCCGCGACGATGTGGATCCGTTCGTGCGTGGTCATCGCGTCAATAATCTGCCCCTTGTCACTCCATCTGTGTATGCGGAGATGGCCCTGGTAATTGGCGAATACCTCCGCAAGCAGCAGACTAAGCTTTCTGGGGCCCTGGTGGATTTGCAACATATGGATGTACAACGACCGTTCGCCACCAAGGGTAAGGGAAAAGGTCCCCAACTTTTGCAATGCCATGTTATACTTGATTGCGTGGCGTTCAAGGGATCTGTGGAGTTTTGGAGCGTCACGCCAGAAGGAAAGAAGCTAGTTAGACATGCAATCGCTAGCATCACGTTCCCGGATGCGAAGGCCGCCCAGGCGGAGGTCCAGCAGCGTGCTGACAGCATTTTGACGGAAATGGAGGAAATAGCTGCAAGAGTCACTACCGACGACCGGGTGCAAAAGTTCACTGGTAAGACCGGATACAACTTGGTGTCATCACTTGCCTCTTATGACCCGGAGTATATGGGTGTTTCTTCGGTCCTCTTGGACAGTGCCCGGTTGGAAGCTGTTGCGACTGTCAAATTCAACAATCCTCGAGCAGACGGGGTGTACCATGTGAACCCGTACCTGATCGATAATCTTGGACAGCCAGCTCTCTTCGTTATGAACGCTAACGATCAAGCCGACCTCAGCAAAGAGGTATTCGTCAACCATGGGTGGAAGTCCCTGCACTTTTACAAGCCGCTGTCAATCAAAAACACTTACAGATCCCACGTTCGCATGAGTGGGCCTGACGCGGATGGCCTGTATGGCGGAGACATGGTTGTCTTTGAAGGTAAGGAAGTCGTCGCCGTGTACAAAGGTATAAAGGCACAAGGAGTCCCACGAAGACTCATGGATTATATTGTCCACATGCGAGATGATTCAAAGGCCGGTGCTCCCACTGGGGGGACGCTCAATGCTGGCAATAGCGCTACACCAAGCCCAGCAGCAGATCAATCAACACAGTCTGTTAGTACAGCCAACGGTTCAGATAACTGGCAATCAGCACTGAAGATAATATCCGAGGAGAGTGGTGTCCCGATCGCCGAACTGTCGCCGGAAGCAGCATTCGACGATCTCGGCGTGGACTCGCTTCTCGCCTTGCTCTGCGCCAGCCGATTCCGCGAGGAACTTGGCTTGCATTACGAATCATCCATCTTCCTAGATCACCCGACCATCAAGGATCTCGAGGCATTCTGGACGCAGGGAGCACCTGAGACCGGAACAGTGACTGTCAGTGGCCGTGACGGTGTCCTAAACTCCATGTTTGCCGAAGCGGAAGAGGATTTAGACCAGGATAAGAGCAGTAGCGACGAGGACCGATCATCATTAGGCACCAGCTCGTACGAAGTCATCAGCGCCAACACAGCAGAAACCACGCCGGAGATAAGCAAAACATCTTCACCCAAGATCTCCGCAACTTCTCTTCTCTTGCAAGGCAACCCAGCTCTGCCCGCGACAGTCAAGACTCTATTCCTGCTCCCTGATGGCTCGGGATCATGCTCCTCCTATGCAGGGCTTCCGCGCATCCACCCATCCATAGCCGTCGTGGGCGTCAACTGCCCATTCATGAAAACCCCAGAGTCCTACACCTGCGGCATCGAGGAGGTCACAAAGATGTACATAACCGAGATCCGGCGGCGCCAGTCTCATGGACCATACGCGCTAGGCGGATGGTCTGTGGGTGGGATCTTCTCCTACCATATCGCGCAACAACTCGCCGCACAAGGCGAGCAAGTCAGCGAGTTGATTCTCATCGACTGCCCGGTTCCCCAGGGTCTAGACCATCTCCCACGCCGGTACTACGAATACTGTGATACGATCGGACTACTCGGCGACGTGAACGGAGTCAAAAGGGATCCACCACCCTGGTTGATCTCTCATTTTGAGGCTTGCGTCAACAGTCTGCATACATACCACGCAACACCCTTCACGTCCGATGACGTTCCCCGTACACAGATCATCTGGGCCTGTGATGCTATCGACAAACACTGCGAACCGAAGTTCGAGCGTAGACCAAATGACCCGGAGGGATTGAAGTTCCTCACGGCGACTAGAACTGACTTCGGCCCTTGTGGCTGGGACAGTCTTCTGCCAGAGGAGGGTATAACTCTGGATAGGATGACGGGGGCCAACCATTTCAGTATGATGAAGGGGGAATTTGCGAAACGCTTGAGTGAGATGATTGAGGGATTTTTGATGATTGGAAATTGAACTTCTAGATTTTCTTTTTTGCTTTCTCGTTTTTTCTCTCGCTTTCTTTTCGCTTTTTTGTGCTTTTATGTTTTTATGTTCGACGGTGTATTTAGGTCTCTATCGTCTCGTATCATTGATATGGTCTTGTTCATCGCTTCAGTGTCCACAATGCATTCGATCACTTCAGGCCGTATGTCGTCAAGAGATCCCTAAAAGGCACTAATGCCATGTTGAAACATTGGTATTACGTCCAGTGTCTTCAGTTTGTCTATCCAGACGGCGATCTTCGGTAACTCGAATGAGTCTTCATTTGTTCGCCAGAAACGAGGGACGACATAGTGAAAGTGACAGAACCCTAACCAAATACAGCTGGGATTAGACTAACCAAGCTACGAAACATAGCATGTTTACAAGGAAATCACACCTGGCTCAATAGTGTAAAGGCATTGCTACTCGTAATTGGTATCACAAAACCAAGCTAACTAAACATTACCACAATCACGATAAGCATTCAACAAACAGCTGGAAGTGCGTCTCATTGTTCGGTATATGAACGTCAATGTAAGACACGGTAGGACAAACAATTTCATCTCTCCTCATGACAGAAGCAGAGTGTCCGGTTCCTCATTACACTTGCTTCTCTGGCGTGACATGTGTAGCAGAGACGCCAGTCGCATCGTGTGCAGGAGCAATCTTGAGATTCCCTTCTATGATCTCTCGCTCGAGCTCCTCCATACGGCTCCGCTTCTCCAGCTTGCGCCAGGCTGGGAGTCCGCTGTCAAAGACATCGTCCATTTCCTCCAGCGTGTAGCCTTTGGTTTCGGGGGCAGTTAGGAACATGTGGATAAAGGCTGCGGTGTTGAAGGCAGCGAACTGTCATACAGAAGGAGGTTAGTGAATGTCAATATTCAGTGAAGAGTGCGAATAGAGCATACAATCATGTACATCTTCCAGTTGATCGACCAGAGCAGTGGTGGGACGAAGAGGGCCAGCAGGCAGTTCCAAACCCAGTTCGAGGCGGTAGCGAGCGAGACTGCTTTGGCACGAACTTTCGCCGGATAGATTTCGGCGGGATAGGTCCACGAAGTCGGGCCGATGGTCGTCGCGAAGGAACACACGAACAGATAGGACAATGCGATAATCGCCTTTCCCACGGCGGGGTGGTCAGCGACCGTCCACGAAATAGCATCGAGCTTGGGGTCGGTATGAGGGTTGGGCGCCCCAAACCCTCCCTGCAATCCACCTTCTATGTAAAGGAAAATAGCCTGTAGGAAGAAGCCAATTAAAATCGCGGGCCGTCGGCCAAATTTATCGAGGTAGATAATGGCAGGTAGGGTCAAGGCTGTGTTGAGAATGTATTGAATTGACGCAGTCAACAGGGGCGATCCAGTGCCTGTGCTTTGCATAATATAGACTATGTAGTTGTTAGCAAGATTTCAGCTTGCCCAAGCGAGCATTGGCTGTTGCTCTTGTATTCGAATAGGTCCAACATACCGATGTAGTACATCATCACGTTCATTCCGCACAGCTGCGACCACATCTGCAAGCTCATACCCAAGATGACACGCTTAAAGATGCGTGGCTTGACAAGCTCCTGGAAGCCAGTGGCGGATTGCTCTCGTTCTAATGCCAGAGCGTCTTGGATTTCCTTGTATTCTGCAAGGACCTTGGGGTGGTTGACATCTCCTTTACCATGCAGCTTCGAAAGCACATTGAGAGCCTCCTCCCAACGGTCCTTGCTGGCGAGCCAACGGGGAGACTTGGGGAAGAGGAACATGCCAAAGAAAAGGATAAAACCGGGTACAATCTGGATTCCCCAAGGAATGCGAAAAGCAGCAGTACTCTGCGTGGGGTTATTCGGGCCGCCGTCGATATTGCTCGCTCCATATTGCTGAAGGGTTGTCAGTATAAGAATGAGGGTCATGACGATCACGGGACACCCACAATGAAATACTGAATCAAGATACCCCATGTAATAGCCCATTGCTGCAGTGATATAACTCGTCCTCGAATTTCCTTTGGTGCGATTTCAGCCTGATAAACCGGGACCATGGCAGACGCGATTCCGACGCAACCACCAGCGATGACACGACCAACGACTAGAAGAGCGATGCCATTCGAAGCACACATAAAACTGATAGACATTAGCGCAGTTAATATATATTCCACTGCGCGTGAGTCACCTACACCGAGCCAATGATCCATAGAATGGAAGAGAACTGGATCGCCCTAACTCGCGAGAAGCGATCGGCGATAAAGCTAGAGCACAGCGCACCGACGAGAGAGCCAAAAGGCATCGCACAGGTAATACTGCCCTAGCAAAAATTAATATCAAAGGCCAAAGTTCAAAACTAGGGAAACAATCGCGCACCTGCTTGTATTGACCGCTACCCACTTGGAAATAGTTTGTATACGCCGCAGTACCCAGGACACCTAAACAGAGTGAGCATACTTTCGGAACCACATTGCGACAGGATCACTTACCACTCATGGATGAGATATCAAAACCAAACAAACCACCGCCTGCGAAAGGAATCAGTCCGTGGCTCCTAAGCCAGACATAGATTGCTCACCTAGAGTGGCAAAGCCACAGAGAAAGTAGACGTTGTAGATTTTCTTCATGATGACAATTGCTGTTGACGCCCGGTCAGCGACGTAGGACTCAAGGTCGGGTCAAGCAGAAAACATGTGAAAGAAACACCCAGCGATAGGAGTCTACGTTTGTTTAAATAAATATGCCGACTGACAACAGTGAATGGAGCTTTGGGCGGCTGTCAGGGAGTCACTGGTGAATTTACACCAAATGTAACACTGCGCGGATGTCGGCTGACGGGCATGATTGGATAAGAGCGATTAAAGAGGCAGAATTGGGACAGTGATTGGGAGATCATTACCTTGTCCGAGGAGAGAGAATCACAAGTTGCACGGCGTGGCGGACGCCACCAAATAAGAGGCGCGGTTGTGATTCGACGGGAAGGGGTCGTGTCTACGAGAAGAGTCTCGTATTTCTGATCATGGGGAAATCGTCCTTCCCCGCAATTGTGATTCTGGGGTAAACAAGGTCTCTTTGAAGCTTTGCCTCTGTTGCCTAAGCCTTTCAAGTGGGACGGGGAACAAGGGAAGACTTTCCAGGAGAACATCGTGCGATGCCGATGGACAGACAAGGGAACATGGGGGAAAACACGAGTCTGGGACTGGAGTCAGTTCCAGATCTACGTAACAATGATCTTCGACTCGCTGCGACATTCTGACTCCCAGAATACGACACTGTCTGTCCCGTACCATGTGTCTCGTCAACCCTAATCCAGTTAAAGAACAAAGAAGGTGCTGATCTATGCACCATTGATAGGCGGAATATCTCCTTGGACTCTAATCGTGCCCAAGCCCGCCAAGGCTGCTTAATGCGTCAAAATCAAAACTTCCAAGACTTTAGTGGTCAAAAGGCGTTACACCACATGGTACTACGGAATAGAAAAGTAACATTAGTAGGGCACAGACCATGGCAAGTAACCAAGGGTAAAATCATCCCTCCGCTCCCGTGACAGCGAACCTTAGGGTTACATGAATGTCACGTTCAATGAATTACCTCGGTCTAATTTTCAATTTATACCCGAATCATTCCAAATCCTTTGTTGAGCAGTATGCAGGGTTTTTCAGGGACCGATATTTCTTCTTTCACTGGAGTTGTGATTGTTCAACAGGAGCAGACTGTTCAAGTGGGTTTGCCAGGCATTGTGGACCTTTGCCCTTGCCGTGAGCTATTTTAAAACGATATTGTCGCTGTGGTAGGCACACGGCCACGCGCTTACCTTTGATCATGGAGCTACAATGTGCTGATACTTCCCGCCAAGCGCTAGCATGGGTTGTTGACTGTGAGGAGGTTTGTCCTTTGATAGCGCTTACCAATACATGTAGATATGATCAACGCCCTACCCAACATGTGGGAGCACTTGTGCTCTTGTCAAAAAGAACCGTGCTATGGATGCCCGAAGCGAGACCTCCGTTCTCTTTGGGACGATGGCCTCTATATCAAACTACACATCGAGAGCCAATGTGCGGAGATAATAGCATTATCACCGAACTGGTCCAATTCCCCGCCATATATGAAGCCCTTTGTTGGATGGCTTCGGGTAATCTTGGAATCGGATAAGTGCCGATTGATGAGTGAGATCCAAGGAGCGACAGCAGGGGGGTGACCCTTCAGATATAGGCGCATTGCATCACTCTGAGCCTTGTTTTCGACGGGCTCATCTGTGGATTTGGATATATCCCGATACTGTGCTGGAAGCCTGGCTTCCTTCACTGAGAACGGTATCCCCGAGAAGACACCAGTGATGGAGTTCAGGAGATGAGTCAGTCCAGAAAAGTCCTCGATCTCAGCCAAAGTTTGCGTCAGATATGCTCCCGATGAGGGCGGCGGCAGAGCCACCCGAGCTGAGACCACCAACCACCAAGCTGCGGCTTGGATCGAGTCTAGTTCCAGCATCTTTTCAACCACATATCATTCAGCTTTCTCACGTCCAATAACGATGCACAGACCTACCAGGCAGTTCACATAGGTTCAGGGAACGGCTGCTCATGGAGCTAGTTGAGGATTGGACAGACCACCACGCAAGACAACAGGACTCCAAAGCCGCGCGCAGGTGCTAAGACAAGATCTGGACTACCCACTAACTACCTCCATGGAAGTAAATGATCAGCGACACTGATGTGGCAGTGTCTCTAACAACCTTGGCCATACCACTTTTGTTCTGTTGGTTCGGTTGTCGGGCAAGGGGATATCGACCCGTCATCCAGTTCATTCCAGCAGATCCGATCAAGGCGTCGAATAAGTATGTTTCCATCATCCATCCATGCTCTGCCGTCCTCATCTAGGCAGGCAGAGCAAGTTAGGTCCTCTCCATGTTGGCCGAGGTATGGTCCATCCATACTGCGGTCCACAAACGCTGGTGGTAGGAGGCTGTCTAAAACATAGCAAAGAGTGATCCATCAACATGCGAGGAAGAACATGGGAAGGATAAGAATAGCCTGAAACATGTTTGACGCTTATCTAGACCTTTTCCCCCATGACTGAACCACTACATTTTGATAATCCGGCGTACGTTGCCAAGTCTTCTATAATTACTAAACGATTGGGCGCCTAAGGCGCGCAGGGTGACGCGTTAGACCTTCGGCACCTGCCCACGGCAGACAAACCGGGCAAACATCGGCAACTCTGGGGCAAGAACTCTTCAGGCCATCGGAGCTACTCCATAGTAAATTATCTGCTGTAGATCAGCATTAGGGAGCTCAATGTCTGGGTATTTTAATTATTTGGCTATTTTTGACCGATTGAAAATACTTTCCTATCAAAATAGTCCATAATTGTTAAAGAATATTTTCAATTTTTTGTAGATTAGCATCTAAGTTTAGGCTGAGTTAAAATCGACATTATATATAACAGCTCGTGAGGCCCTCAAAAATTAAAGTAAGCACGTGCATACTAGTGCTGAGGAAGGCTGAGCCTCCCCACCCCTGAATCAGTTCAAAGTTGTACTAATTTCGGACCCTGGCGCAGCTAACAACCCACCATAGCTGGCCTATACCATATGTCAGCTTGTAGTATATGAGTATATAAGGTTTTTGGCATGGTTTGAAAGGCAACTTTTCAATATACTACTAATTCTCACTACTCGCCCGGATGACTCGAAAGCAATCTTGCCAGAAGCGGTCCACAACAGGCTGTCGCACCTGTCGGTTCGTTGATATATGTACGCTCAACTCTATATTCCAACCTACTAACGTCATCAACAGGGCCCGACGCGTTAAGTGCGATGAGACACCTGGTACCTGTAAAAGGTGCAAGGACTCTGGGTGGAAATGTGAAGGATATGACTTCGCTCGTTTATCTAACCTCAGGAAAGAGGATCGGGGAATAATGTCTTCGCTTACCCTCTACCGAGCCTCCCAGGGTCTCCCCGGAGTCGGCCCCGAAGAGAAAAGGGGATTCGCTTTCTTCCAGCACTTGAGCATCCCGAACTTGACTGGTTTCTTCAACACCAGCTTATGGACCAATCTTATTCTACCCATGAGCCACGAAGAGCCCGCTGTGACCCACGCCCTCGTGGCAGTCAGTGTGCTGCATGAGGACATGGAGGTACGAGGCGTCCCACTTGTTCGAGAGGACCTAGCGTGTCGTCGCCATCGATTCGCGTTGGGGCAGTATGGGCGCTCCCTGGCAATCTTGAATAAGCGGCGCCATTCGCAGGATCCAAAATTTCGCGAGGTCGTCCTTACCTGCTGCTATCTGTTTGTAGCATTTGATTTGATGCGCGGTCGATATGATCCAGCAATGCGACATCTGAAACAAGGCCTTGCAATTATTGAGGAGGCTCACAGCTGGGAGAGTCCCGAGATGGTCTCTACGAGAAGTCCTCCTATAGCGAAGCCCCTTCAGATAGCACTGACGCGCTTCCGCGATCACAGCTACTTCTTTGGCCTAAACCCGAACCGCTCTGCTATCGGTGATCAGGCCCCACTGTCTGAATATGGGTTTAGCACGCTATATGATGCCCGGAATGCGCTAGATGACGTGGTGCGTGGTTTGATCGTTTTGATGATAGCGGAGAAGCAGCTTGCAACAGATGATCATGGAGCGGATCGACTTGTTGCTTTGTTCAAGATGAAAAGAGATATAAAACGCCAGTTTAACCAATATAAGACGAGGCTCGATTACTCAGAATCTCACTCGCTGCACATCCAGGACCAAAAGGACTTGCGAGGACTTAAAATCCTCCGATTACATCACTTGAACTATGACCTTGTACTTGAGTCAGTTTTGGTTGAGGATGACCGCTCTCTTTTAATTAGTCATGTGGACGGTTTCCGGCAAATCTTGGATCTCTGTGAACAGATCGCAAATAGCTTCCAGGATAAAAGTGGCTCTCACTCCCGACCCAGCCTGGTGTTAGAAATGGGCGTGAACGCTTCCCTGTTCTTTGTTTTTTGGAAATGCCACGATTTCAGCCTACGCCTGCGGGCACTGACACTTCTCGAGGAATGGCCGCACCGAGAAGGACCGTGGGATTCTCGTCGGCTCGTCACCTTTGCAAAGCAGACGTTGGACCTGGAATTTGATATGCTGGCTTCTTCATCGGATCCCCAGGCACCAATGCGTTTAGAGATTTCCTCCTTAGAAGTACGGGATGACAAAATGGAAAGTGTCATTGAATATAATATTCGTGGACAGAGTCAGGAGGTACTAGGCCAAAGAAGAGTAGTACTTCTTGACGAAGAGGCCTCCGGAGACTCGACGCTGAGCTTTTGCTTACGCACCCAGAGATATATCCACTCAATCAATAGTGCATGCTGAGATTTTACTTATACACTGTTTAATGCGCCTGTACCAACCCACCTCACCCCTTTGCGTACATTCATAGCTCGAGGATCGAGATTAGGTAATTGGATACGTGAATGCTGATATAAGACGCTGGACCTAGTCATCCATGATAATACTGGAAGGCCCTGATAGAATATATTCAGTCGTAGCATCTGAAATATTTGATGGGGTTAGTGAACATCCCTACCGTGAATGATAAGGGTATGGTATCCATAAGATCAACTCCCAGCCAAAGACCTTTGCCACAGTTGTCATACTCTGCCTTGTGCTCCGGGAGCTCTACTGCATCTAGACTGAGGTATCTGACTCAGATACTCCATAGTGGACTTTCGGTTCCTTGCACTTTCTACACCTTAAGTCCTCATCACGTCTGCAGTCTGTCTGGTAGTATTCTATACTCGGACCTGATGACGTAGACCTTTCCATTTAACTACGCATTAGAAACAAAGCAAGAAATTAAGGAAGAAAGAAAAAATTGAAAGCAATTATCTCATGAGTGAAGTTGAGTCTTTCGATCCATAACATCCAGACGTCTGCACACAGAACTAAAAGGAGCCCCGAATGCTAGCAAAGTGAACAAAGCCCATTCACGACGTCTCGTCATAAATAGTCTCCCGCATAAGACTAATAAGGTCATCATCCGAAAAGGCGATGGTCGCATCCTCAGTTATACCCGGAAGGTCAGGCATTTCATCCAAAATACGCTCTAGCGGTATCATCAAGGGCGCATGTCGAACTCTTCCACTTTGATAGTCCACACTGACCTCGTGTGTACATTCGGCAACGCCATCTCCATATTCCCAGCATTCAAGCACAATCTCACCAGTAGAGAAGGCTACTACCAGGACAAATCGGGTGAGTCCGGAGGTATTTTCCAGCCATAGACGGGCATCGACTCGAAGCGCATGAAGGGAAGTTCTATCCCCAAATTCCATGACGAGGGATGGGTAGCTGTCGGGTTCTCTGCTTGTAAGCGGAATATAGGCCTGTTCTGCTTCGAGCTGCAGTCCGTTGCGCGTCGTGTATATCGTTGGGCCGACCTGAGAGAGAATATCCGAAGTGAGTCCGTGATGCTGTTGATATTTACGAATATAGAACCTTTGGTACATCGTTGCGCTGAGCTGGTCGCATAGCGGCGATTTGAACTTCATGACGAGAGTATTGTATGCGGGAAATGCGCGGACTAGGAACGTACGGGGGCGAGTACATGCCCGCCATTTATTGAACTCGAGAAGGTCAGCGTCGGACACCTGTGTGATTGCCATGTATTGTTCGCCGCCACCCAAAAAGGACTCCAGGTATTCCCTGATGAACCCGACAACTGTTTGGAGGTCTGTGTAGACCTCCACAACCACATCGTGGCTTTTATACAGATCTAGAGGATGTTTCTGGGATGTCGGGTCTAGCCTGGTCATTATCCTGGCCTGTATAAGTTCCGGGATCTCTGAGAAACCAATAATTATACTCTTTTGATGTCTTGTAGTACTATGGCGTAGGTATAATCTGAGCATAGTCTACACCTAATATAGCGAAATGGGCTTTCTGGGACTATAGTGGGGGTAGTGAGGGTAGAGACGTATTCATCATGGTGAGCATGATATGAGTTGCGTAATGGCCTCAGGACTGCTCCATCCCATGGCACTGCGGCGTAGTCCATGGCTCAAGCAAAAGGACACAGTCGTCAACACTATATGCCTCGACCGAAATCCAGGAAACCCGCTTTGAGGTGGATAAAACTCGAACTATAACCACAAGACTCAAACACACCCTGCTTTTCACAAACCGAGAAAGCGATAGAACTACCTGTCAAGCAGTATTTCCCTTACGGACTTGGGCAAGATACGAAATGGGTCACAAAGTACAACTGTTCGGAATATGCTTTCATTAGGAATGTCATGCAAATATAGGATTCCTCGTCATTAACATGTCTGAATTGCACCCAAGGATCGCCACAATTAATCCATCTCATCCCTCAGGTTCGCATTCTTTGGGACCCGCAAGTCCAAAACCGTCCGAATATGATCATATCCAAGGTCATGATCCTGCTCGCGTGCCAGAAGATGCGCCGTCTTCAGTATATTTTTGATTTGTCGACCATTTAGCTTCACCTGGGCCAGGTCGTTCAGCTGTTCCGATGAGAATCCCCCATTTTCGCCCAGGAATTGTGCCCAGATTTGACGTCGTGACTTGGTATCGAGATCAGGGTACCGAACCGACACATGAATACGCGACTCGAAAGCTGGATCGATGCTTTCGGCACGGTTGGTCGTGAGGAACAAAATACCCTATCCAAGCAATCAGCTCGACTCGTCATCCGTTGGTATTCATCAGGCTACTTACCTCATAATATTCCAACAATCGCAAGAAGATCGAAACCAACTCGTTCCGCTCCAGATCCGTAGAATTGCGCGTCTCCATAAACACATCCGCCTCGTCTAGCAGAAGAACTGCACCCCACTTCGGGACCATGCGAAGGATATCTTTCAGTGCCCTTTCGACATTCCCAGCGGATGTGCCTAGGTCTCCTGCACTCAGGACATAAAGAGGAACCCGCATGACCTCTGCCACGCTCTCAGCCGTGAGCGTCTTTCCTACGCCCGGCGGGCCGCTCAGCTGTATGATCACCCCCCGACCCTTGCCCTGCACGACATCGTCAAAGGTATCCATCTGCTTTGACTGAGCCTTTGCGATAGCCAGAATCAGGCCTTTCAGCCGCTGCTGCTCCGCCGGCAGGACCAGCGAGTCGAAAGCCCGTGAGTCCCAGACAATATCCCGTACCCCTTCGAGATATAATTCGAGCCACTTTTTGTCCTTGAGGGAGTACCCACGTAACGTAGGAGTTGCCAGAAGCCGTTGCTCATCGTTGAGGGTTTTCATGCAGCCATCGACTCTAGTTGAGTCATCGGGGTTGAAAGTATTGAAGGCCTCGCCGTCAATAATTACCCGGCTCTTGACGTTGAGCTGCATGTCCTGACCCATGAATTTGGTGAATCCAGGCCCTTCGTACTGCTTGTAGTGATACCCGCTGTGTTCCTCCCACAACCTTCCCCGGGAAATTAGATTGTCCCGTACGGTGCCTACATTCGGGTGAAAATGTAGAGGGAAAACAGGTAGGGCAGTGATTGGCATTGTCCCTTGGAACGGGGGAATGCATTGGCTTTTCTTCCTATATCCAAAGCCACTTCCATCATAGTCAACGTACTTGGCGGACACAACAAATACTCCTTCACAGTTGGTCGAGGCCGACACCGACTGGAAGACACGTTCATGGTCACCATAAATACAGTAAACATGGACTCCCGGTTCAAAAATTGTCCAGAGTAAATCGTGAGTGACCACGCCGTTAAGGATCAGATCCTTCCTGCGGGTAATGGTCTCACAAAGCTCTCCCTCTAGAATGTTATAGAGTAGGTCGACCACAGACTTGGTCTTGGGGTCTTTGACTTCCTCCCGAGCTTTTGAGAATTCCTCCCACCGGTGGACAAACGGCATGAAGGGCGGTTTAAACTCAACCCGCTTTAGCGTCATTGTCAGACCGGGGTAGTTCTTGAAGACCTTGGCCAGAAATTCCTTTAACAATTTACTCTGAACCACGATGGAGTGGATCTGTAGGGGTTTCCGGCCGTCGTAACACTTCACATTTCGCACCAGGAGTGCATACTGACCGGACTCAGTGTCCTCGGCCGGGACAGTCAGGTCGTCAGGGTACTCCTTTGTCCACGTTGTGCGACCCCTTTTGTCCGGCTTAGACTCGTAGAGGTTATGGACCTCGCAGATGGAACCGGTAGGGGCATAGTTCACAGGCTGAGACTCTGGGTCTTATAGGGTATCAGTCTGGCTCTTTCGCGTATTGTTGAACAGCTAAAACATGAAAACCACCTGACCTGTTGTCGTGGGAGCGCCTCTCTCGCGTGTAGCTTCCTCTTCAGAACATGACGACATTTCGCTCTCGCTGTCGCTATTGTTAGATTCTTGATCCGAGTCGTACAGTATATACATCGGGCTCAGGATATTCCCAGAGCAAATCAGTTGGGTTCTTGAGAGGTCGCGGATAGTCGTTCTCTCTAGGTATATGAATATGGTGGAAGGGCCAGACAGCATTTAAGTAGGCTATGAGCTGCACGGCGCATTCCAAATGCTCTGCCACACACCACTCCCATTGTTGTACAATGACTCAGTCATTGTGTATGTAACGGTAGCAGGCACCAGGCCCTTGCCTAGACTATTTAGTTGCCTGAGCAATGGACAAATCAGCGACCAGTAGTTATGTTGGTCGCCGATATGAGCCTCAATGAGTCAGAGACTCCCACTGTCTGCTAATCAAAACCTGCTAATCGAGGCAATCAGCCTACTCGAGAGAGGGGAGATGCGCACGGAACTACCTTGAGGCTCTTCCAGTAGGTTGTCATTGGACGAAGGAATCACGTGCCTATGCAAGGCCCTGCCTGGTTTGTTTACCTAGTGGGGAATGTTCTCCACTAGGTATCCAATTAATTACCATTGTGGATAAAGCCTTGTGCAAGGCATAAGCGAGGATAGTCTTTTTTCTCACAACTTTCCGGCCCTTTGTGTTGTGCCATTGAGTTCCACTCCGACCATTTTATAGACCGGTGGAACACTCAAGTATGAATCAGTGACTACGGTCATTCGCCCGCCCAGACCGACAATTTGACACGGCACTGTCTATGAAAGATCGTGGTCGTCCAAAACACAGAAAGTGTTCTTGATTGTTTTATATCCAGAAGGGGACACGGGTTCGCTTGCTGGCCTTTCCTCAGCTTATCTTGTTCCTTCGCAACGATTGCAATGTTCCTCGAAAACCAGGCACAATGGGGAGAATCCACCAGCCTGTCTGAATCAAAGTTTTGTCAGGAGTAAACGAACTACCCAGAAGCAAGGGAATAATCGGGCAACGCGAGGAATTTGGTACAGAATATATATTAGCAGCTCAGCGGTTAAATATTTTCCATCACTCTTTGGCAGGCTCAGTCCATTTCAAAATTAATAACTCGAATACATGACTTTATCCGAACTAGCAGACGGAAGCTTGCGTTGACGTGTTTCTTATATAGTCGTATTAGCACAACTGAGCATCTTGTTTGATATGATTCCTATCCCAGCGCACCATCACTGATGTTTTCTTTCCATTTTTTCCACCACAACAACCCCGATGTACATCTTAAATTGTTACTCACTTTAAAGTCTAATTAGCCCTAAGGAGACCTTAGTCACTATCCATAACAAATGGAGATCTCCCAGACCAATCCAACCTCTCACCCCCGGGCCTCAAAATACCGATACACCACCACAAAAGCCTCCAACCAGGCAATCTCCCTGTCATCATGAGCCTCATACATCCTCGCCAGACCCTCCCCGGCATAATTCCACGCATCCACGGGACCCCTCGGAATAAAATAGAAAGAATCCCCCTCCTCCTCTCTCGCGATCCTAGGCAACCGACCCGCCTGCTTACCATCATACACAAACTGCAACCCTTCAACCACAACCCTCACCACACCCCCCACCTCCCCCAAGCCCTGAGTTTCCCTCATCAACCTCTCAGAATCCACCTTCTCCTCCGCCGCTAACTCATATTTCACCCCAACCCCTTCCAAACCCCGCAAAACAACCCCCAAAGCCCGATCAAACGGCACCACGGCAAAAAGCTCATATGCAAACCACGACATGCCTTTCAACCGTCCCCCCCGAAGCAACGATTGCCATTGCATCTGCTTCTCAGTCCGTCGCAGTCGCTGGACAATATGTGGAATATTCTTCCGCCGCGTCTGACTGGGATCGATCATTTTCTTCACAATATCAGAATTCGTCTCCAGCAAATCAGCTGCTTTACGAAGCTGACTGGCTTTCCGCGTGTTTAGTTTCATCTGCGCGTCTTGGATGGCGGTCCAGCGGGCTTCTAACCCGTGGATAGTAGATGAGTCCCATACAGCGGGCAAGGCGGTGTAATGAGCCAGGACGGCCCGTTGCCAGGACTCGAGGTATAATTCCTCGATGATCCGGTGGTGCATGTAATTTGTGATTTCCTTATAGTCTGATTGGAACGTCTGGGTGTTTAACGCCAGGGGCGATGATAATGGTGCTGCGGTGAGGTTGTGGGCGGTGCAGACTGTGCGGTATAGATCGGCCGTTTTGCGGACTTCCTCTAGGATTTCTGCATCGTAGTGCACGATTCGGCCCAGGCTTGGGTGGGTGAGGATGTCGGTGTTGATGTGTGCATCGTTGTAACAGATCAGCCGCAGGATGTCCCAGATCCGGATGTCGTTGAGGATTTGATGGGCGACTTCTCTGGGGAGAGTGGCGAAGGAAGTAATGATTTTGTTCAGGGTCTGAGTGGGCATTTTGATATTTGCAAGAGTAGTAGTAGTAGTAGTAGTAGTAGTAGTAGTAGTAGTAGTAGTAGTAGTGACCCCTTGGTGCTCGATCTATGGGGTGGGTGGGGATATATATATATGGTCAGAGATTATGGATACATACTAACAGAAATACGAGCCCTAATAATGGGGCCAAAAATCGAGTGACTCACGAGACGATCCACTTCCCCCCACATCGTCTTTCAACCTTGCCTCAGCCTCATTGCCCGAGTATATTAAGAAATCCATATATAGTCTACGCCCCTTCCCCAACGATGGGTACAGAAAAATCATTCCCAGATATCCGACCTGCGACAAAAATGCCCCAAACAGAAGAAGAGAAAGACTACACCGAATTCATCCAAACCCAACCCCCATCCATAATCGCAGCATGTCTACGCCGCGACCAACTCCTGTGCCAGGAGAACCATCTCCCCAGTCCACTGGCCATGCACCTCCCAACCCAGCCTTGTGATCTCCTCGACGAAATCTCCAAACACCTCATCCCCGAAACCTCTATCCCCGCCCCAATCCGCAGACTCCAATGCCAGGGCATCATCAGCGGAATCAAAGCCTCCGTAAACCAAATGAGCTGCATCAGAACGTGGACAAGTGAAGACACCGAAAAGGGAACGGGGATCATCCCCAGAACGAAGGACTTCCAATCCGCGCTCCGCGTGCTCGAATACCTCCAGAAATACCCCTCCATCTCCATGCTCACCAGCACCAGTCCCTTCCCGGATGTGATCTCATCCGTGAAAACCCAATTGGCATTCGAAGCTGGTCTCCGGACTGTGACTCACCTCCACACAGCCCATAAAGACAGCCGACTCGACGCGAAAGCGAGTTACAAGGCCCGCAGACAAAAGCGGACTTGCTACATGTGTCATTTTGAAATCAGAACGGACGAAGCCCACAATATCTACCCGTCCCTCTGTCGCCCATGCGGGTCATTCAACTTAGCCTCGTCGGCCATTTCAGCACCCCCGAATCTCAAATTACGAGGTAAAACGGCCCTGGTAACGGGCGGACGAATCAACCTCGGCTACGAAACTGCGCTACGGCTGCTCCGCTGTGGAGCCAGTGTCATCGTGTCATCGCGGTATCCCCGGGACGCGGTGGTGCGGTATGCGAGAGAGACGGATTTCGGGGACTTTTCATCCCGGCTGAGGGTTGTGGGGGCGGACTTTCGCACGGCTAGAGATGCGTTCCGGCTTGTGGAGGTTGTGAAGCGGTTACTGGATGATTGGGAGGGGGGTGGCAATGGGAGAACTGCGGACAGGGCGCTGGATATTCTGATTAATAATGCGGCGCAGACGTTGACGGATCCTGTGCGCTCGGAGACGAGGGCTATTGTGAGGGAGGAGCAGTTGGAAGGAGAGGTTGGGGAGCATGGGGTGATGGCGGATTATGGGGAGCGGTATGTGCCCAAGCTTCGGGGTGGAGTGGGCAGTGCTTGGGGTGGCATTGAGGATCGGGTCCGGTTGCAGATTGCGGGTACGGCCGAGTCAGAGTCTAGGGAAGGCCATGGAATGGTGCAGAAGGGTCTGGGTCCGGATGGAATGGCAGAGGATGACTCAAAGTCGTCGTGGACGCAGCATCTGGACCAGATCCCGTATGAGGATGTCATTAGCGCGCAGGCGGTGAATGCGCTGGTCCCGCTGATTCTATGTCGGGAGTTATTGCCCCGAATGGGCGCGACGGAGAAATCGTCGCGGCCTTTGGGATACATCGTGAATGTGTCGTCCCGGGAGGGAATACTGGAGAGCAGGACGAAGTCTGCCAGTAAAGCCGGTCACCATGTTCACACCAATATGTCCAAGGCCGCGCTGAATATGATCACGGAGACCGAGAGTGAGTCGGCGTGGGAGCGGCATGTCGCTATGAATACGGTGGATCCAGGCTATATGAGTGCGGCACCGGAATGTCAGCGGGCAGACGGCTGCCCGATCGGCTTTGAAGATGGTGCTGCCCGAGTTCTGTGGCCGATTGCGATCGGAGAACGCGAGCACCGGGTGATTCGTGGACGGTTTATGAAGCATTTCGGAAATCATGATGCGATTATATCGCGAGGAATATAATTATATCTTGATTGCCTGACCGTGATAGAGTTTAGAGTTATCACGGGCGAAAAACATAGATTTTGCACACCAAGTCGTTCATATATCATCATATAGTGGCAGAGCATGTTCATATCAGCTTCATGCCCTATCCCTTCTTTGCTCCCTCACCCAGAAATACCGTAGCACAAACAGCATGATCAACATGCAGACATCCAGCGCCAGATTCCAATTATATCCAATCAAGTATCGGGGTGCATCCACCGTCTTCCACACACTGTCAATCCAAATTAGCATAAGCATCCCCCGACCCACACACATTCTCACAACACTTACAAAAGCGGGATCCAAGCGCCAAACGTATTCCCGATCGTATTCATCGCACTGATAACCAAGGCCCGCTCCTCTGCACTGCGTGCGCAAATCTCGTTCGCCCAGGCATAGATGATGGCTGCAATCCCGTCCGCCGTGCCGGACAGGAAGAATGCGAAGAATTTCAGCCCTACCGGAACATTCCATATCGCAAGTACGAGACAGGCGAAGATATTCAGCAGCGCAGTGATGGCGATCAACGAGACCTTGGCGTCGTAGATATCAGAGATCACGCCGCACACGATCGAGGCGACAATAGTGACGGCGGGCGACACAGTGGTAATGGTGTTGATAGATTCGACGGAATACTGTTCTTCTTTCAGCCAGAGAGATAGGCCGCTATTCGAGGAGACCCCATCCGCCTGAGAGAAGAAGAAGGCGAAGCCGACGAGTACCCAAATCCTCCATCCCTTCAAGATGGTGACGATTCTGGGGATCGTAAATGGCTGACGAGGTTCGCGGTGTTCGGCAGCCATGCGTTCTTGTGCTAAGCGAATCTCGTCCTGGGTGAGATAGCGGGAGTTGCATCGGTCTGGGGTACTGGGAAGTAGACATAGACCGAGAAAGGCGATGGGGATAGTACAGGCAAAGCCTAAATATCTCTGTCAGTGGGTACATTTATGATGAAATGGTCACGATACAGCTTACAGATGATGTATAGCCATCTCCACCCTTTGATCCCATACCGACCATCCAATCGGGCATAGGCGCCGGCTTGAATATACCCCGAGCTCATGCTGCCTACCTGGCTCGCGATGAAAAAGATTGCTCCACGACGTGCCAGTTCGGACCTTTTATACCAACTGCCCAGATACCATTGGACAGCCGGGAAAAAGAACCCACCCAGAGCGCCAACAAAGAACCGAAGGGCATAAAGCTGGGTGACGCTGCTGGCCTTGTACTGAGCCAGTGTAAACACACCCCAGAACAAATCTGCAGCCGGGAGGAAATAGTTCACGGGGCAGCGGGTCATCTAAACTGTCATATTAGTCCTCGTTCATGCGCACTCATTGCCAATAGGCAACTAACCGCCAATGTCAGAGGGATCTGCATCGTGATGAACCCAACCCTGTATGACCAATTAGAAAAGTACATCCACCTACCACCTCGTAGAGCACTTACATATACACTGTGTTGAGATAATTCAGTTGATTCCCATATAGCTTCAGATCCTCTTTCATCCCGCTCACATAGGCCGTACTCGTCGCCGACGAATCCAGCACCTTCGCCCAATGGGCTAAAAAGAGGAAGACGATGATCAGGCCGTCTAGCTTGAGTATCAGACGACGCTCGGCTGGAGTATCTGTCGGCGCAAACCATTGATACCATTTTTGTCGGTCGGGGGTAGGCTGTGAAGGTCGTTCTAAGCTCCCTTTGGAGTGGCATCTTTCCACATCCGACGTCTCTGGCGGAGAATCTGTCGTAGGGGTTGCCTTTTCAATTGGATAAGACATGGTGCATATGGAGTATGGGGTTTTGATCAAACGCTAGTTACACGTGTTGAGCACGTTCCTCGCTTTTCTGCATGTCTTGTGCAGTTGATTATGGTTCTGATTCCTAGAGAAGTACTCTGAATTTCTTTTTTTTTAAATCGTGAAAGCACGCCATCGCTCGCATTGGTGGCGAGAACAAGTCGGGAACTTATGCATGGCTCTGATGTTGCGACTTTCCCTTTCTGGGGTAGGACTAGTACGTAGCTCGTTTTGTTCAGTCATCAACCCTAGAAGTACCGATGGAGACGTGAGGGGGTCCAAGATTTAGTGGCTTGGGGGTTAGTTGTGCTTCACTAGCTAATTAACTAGTTAGTGAGATCCACCCTGAGCTATCTCATCCACACAGAGCATGTGGACCAGGGAAACATTCATTCGTCGCGTCGTGTATGATATAAACAAATGACACGCGAAGCCCTCATTGCTTGTATTGATGACTAATACTGTCTTGGCAAATCATTAAAACAGAGATAGAGGGGTTTTTGTCAGTTTCACCGACAGTCTTGTATGATCGGTATTTTAATACAATGTACTGATAGTATAGTTGTCTAAATTAACTTATTTGAACAGATTTTCTTATCTCTTGTCAGTATCAACCTACGCTCAAGCAGTACAAGTCAGAATAACCTATGTATTCAGATTGTAGTCCGAAATAGCAAGCTCAAGATCCCGCTGCTCCTGAATATACAGAAAATAACCATAATAAAAGAGTCCGGTTCTCTACCACAATTGACAATGCTGCCACGGATATTACTGATATCACAATCACTGAAGCTTCTAAGTGGAAGGACCTAAATCTAACTAGATTAACTATTCTTTCTAGAAAATCGAGAGAAGACAGACCACTAAAGAACAGCTAAAATACCGAAAGCAGAAGCAGCTATTATACAGATAGATAAGTTTGCTTATAGAATATAGAACTAAATACTTAGACACTGGCAATTACAATAAAGCTCGGAGAAGAAATCGACTCCAATACGTAATATATTGGAGCTTATACATTCCCTTCTTTAGCCTGAAAGGCATGTTGCTGGGAGTCGTGATCCGATGCATCATACATCGACTATTCATACGTACGCAGGCCTATTTTATGGAAAGCTGGAGATACAAAAGACTACTCTAGTCATTAACGGTCTCAAGTCAACTATGGGATCGCTCCATATCCCTCGCTATATCGACTCCTACCGCCGCAATAATGCCGGACTTTGACAAAGTTGATAAGGATACGGAAATAATACATTAAAGCAATAAAGAAAGTAACATCTAATATACTATAGCTCGATACTCTTATATAGACTACAGAGTTGTCCTACTGTCAGCAAATTCGTATGCTGAAATGGATTGTTAGATATGCCAGCTGTGCAGGAATGTACTGAAAATCAAAGCAATATATGCGTCGGAACCCTGATACGCTGTAAGTATAAATTATTTTTGCACCTGGGAACCGTCTCCAGAATCTGGTGTAAATTGCAGGATGCTTGCTACACCGGACCTAGATGTATCCTCTAATTTCGCTTGTCACAAACTTCGGAGGGTTGAATGAAATTCCAGAGGAAAGCGCTTGTAATAACAATCCCGAGGACGGGAAAACTTCCAAATGCCTCCACGAGGCTAAATGGCATCACCGCATTCGTTTCTACTGGCAACCTCAAACCGCTGTATGCAAAGAATGGCACGCATACATAGAGCCAGCAAAGCCCCCACATAAACCCTGGGATTCTCGCTCCTCTGAAGTAGAGAGTTCTATTCGATTGCATTGTGAAGACGTCTTCAATCTTCATAATCACGGGATTTGAGATAAAAAATAGGAAGACCCACCCCAAAGAGTCAAAAACTCCAGCATACGCGGCACTGAGCATGTGGAGAAGTCCAGACAACAAGAACACCAAAACGGTCTGCATAATATCCTGGCCCTGGCAGGAGGATGAAATGCGCCGCTTGAGGCGTCGTGTGAGGTGCCCACTAATGGTCATTAATGGCCAACGTAATAACTGGTGCCAATATGTGCTATGAAAAATTAGACACGAGCACAGAATACTGAATATAGTAAGGCTCAACTATGAGCTTCTCGCCACGGGGCAAGGGGGAGGGGCAACCGGGACGAACAAGACAGCTTACCTCCAGAAACGTCGGATGCTGGACATTTGGAACTGGTCCAGGGACCCGAACAGCGGTGGCCAGTCCTTGGGGGCCGTTATCCCCAACAGTACAGATGTAGTTGCAAGTACTCCATAGACCATTGCAAAGAGCAATCGCAGATTCGCCCCTAGGATACAGGCGAGGGGTAACCGTGATGCCCACTGCTCCTTGGTTGAAGCAAGACCAAGAAGCTCCGCTCCTGGCGCCAACGCATCCGGCCAACTGTGGTGAAAATACCGCAAAGCTCCAAAATTCAAGAGATCAAGAGCCATGTACTGCCAACCAAGGACAACCAGGCTTTCTGCAATATATCGGCTTTTCGGAAGTTCGCGGCGACGCGGTCCAATTTTCACCTCCCACGGCGTCCCAATCCCACGGGTACTTGTCACGCAGTTCAAAGCAGCACAAAGGCGGAGAGAGTAGGGACAGGGAACGGAGTGGACTAATTGATGGATCTCCACCTTGAGAATCAGGAACAAGCTAAGTAAATGGAGAAGCTTGACCGCGCAGGAGAATGCAATGACTCCGCAGAGCAATGGGGGGCCTTGTAGAAAGGAAAGCAGCCAAAGTTCGAGAGCGGCGAGGATGAAAAGCAAACATATACAAAACTGCCGTAAGGGTGATCCATGGGTTGTAGAGGCCAAAGCAGCCGAGGAAACTATGTACTCACAGATGATAGTAGCTAACACCTGGAGGGAAGACATGGGTAATGCAGATTTCTTGTAGCTTCGTCTAAGTCCAACTTGAAGAATCGGCGACGAGGATCCGAGCTGCAATGCAGGATCGCCTGCCAGCACAGTGATGTAGGCGGTCCAAACAGGAAGAAGGAGGATGCTGGGGGAGCAATCAGAGATTGGACGGAGCTCAGTAGTCGTTCGGCTGTGTCCAAGGCACTTTCTGTCGCAGGATGACGTCCGGCAAGATGCAGAGCCAAGACAATTTATGGTGCAGTTCCCTCCGCCTCTCTATGGAATGGATCTCAGCCCCTTGCATGAATCAACCATGGGTGTTCTCAATGTGGAATAAGCTTGCCCCTTTCTGCCCATCCACATACCTTATAAAATACACGCTCTGAACGTTCAAACAAATACGCAGCTCAATACGGGCCAAGATGGAAGATTCATCCAACAGTACCTGCTTCTCAGGAGTGCAGGCTATCCCCTTATCTTCCGGTGATTCGTGTCAGCCTGGATTCTACTGTACGGTCGTTGCCCTTCCCAGGTCATTTAACTCTCTGGCGGTATATGAGAGTAACATATTCTAGGTCCAGCAACTAGTGCGCACGATCCGCCGGCATTTTGTCTCCCGTCGCTGGACTGTCTTCTAACCCGACTTCAGAGTGGTGGCGAGAACTTATGCGCCAGTGCCCAAGGAAAGTTCGAACCTGTCATATGCAATGCTGGGTTCTACTGTCCAGCTGGCGGTAAGCAGAAAATCCAGTGCCCTCGGGGGCATTTTTGCCCACTGGGCACGGTGGCGCCCTTCCCGTGTTCGGTCATGTCAATATGTCCCGCAGGAAGTACTTACCAAACCCCCCTGTTGGGATTCTTTCTTTGCTTTCTGCTTGACTGTTTGATGATCGGGATGTGTGTGGCTTCGCGGACCCAATCGTCGTTGAGACAAATGATGCAGCCCCTGCGCCTAACCCACCTACACCCGCAGTCTCGAACCGGAGAGAGTGAAGCACAAGCCGTAGTCTCTCGCTTGGAGCTCCGAGATTTTTTCAACCCCGAATTGGTGCCTGATGGTGGTCTGGTACTGAGCTTTACCAGTATCGATCTCCATCCACGCCGCTCCCCTCGCAAGGTCTTGTCTGGACTGAACGGGGCCGTCCATTGCGGTTCAGTCCTCGGGATCATAGGGGCATCTGGCTCTGGGAAATGTGAGATCTCATATTTCTGGCTTCCCAGGGCATGCCGAGACTGACTAAGAATGCATTTTAGCAAGCTTTGTTAATATCCTTTCCGGCAGGATACGGCCCACAGAGGGATGGGTCTCGATAAACGGCCAGAGAAGCGAACCGAAGCAGTAACTACCCCTGCGCCTTCATATAATAAGATCTCACACACTGACCGCTATGCCTTGTCTTTTTATTGGGGAATAGACTACGAGATTTGATTGGTCTCATTCCTCAGCATGATGCCCTCCTGCCGGATGCCACCGTCCGTGAAAATATCATATACTCTGGGCGTGTTTTACTTGGTGGTCGGCTGTCTGAGCGCCAAATTCAGGAATACGTAGATTTTCTGATATCATCCTTGGGACTAGAAGATATCCGCCATCAATTGGTCGGGGGCCTAATAAACGAAGGGGGCCAAGGTATCTCCGGAGGTGAATACAAGCGCGTGAGTATCGCGGTCTCGCTGGCTGCGGCGCCGCTCGCATTGATTCTCGACGAGCCAACCTCAGGACTGGATGCGACGGCCGCCCATTCGCTCATGAAGCTCCTCCACTCAATCTCAAGGCAGGGCATCATAGTCGTCTGTGTGATCCACCAGCCACGCGTGGAAATATTTCGACTTTTAGATGATCTGCTCGTGCTGAATGGCGGGGCCCAAGTCTATCTTGGAAAGGCTGCAGATGCACAGCCGTTCTTTGAGAAGGTGGACCAGAGATTTCCAGCCGCATCGAATCCGGCAGACGTGATACTTGATATTTTATCAAATGGTTTTCCGACTCCAGGTGAGGAAAAGTATCCCGCACAGGAATCAATAAGACAAAATCCGTCCCCCGGAACTGGCATGACGGAAGAGGCCCTGGCCACGCTCCTTCGAACGGTTACGCAAAGGAGAGCGTCCTGGACTCGCCAACTATGGCTCGCATTCTCCCGGGGTACGACTCAGCAGTGTCGACAGACCACCAGCCTTGCTCTGGAGATTGTATCCAGCGCAGTGACTGGTCTCATGATTGGCCTCGCAGCGTTTGAATCCAGAGGCCACTTCTTCCAAGGGATTTACCACGATTCATATGGTTTTCTTTCCAGTGCAGTGGAATACCGTCTGATAGCCGAGCAGGGCTTGTTATGCTGCCTGGCGATTGGTACGGCCCTCTTTCATGTTCACCGTTTTTCTCGCCCATGGGCTCACCAAGCATGAACTGCAGCTTGTGCGGCTGGGCCTCCAAGTGTGAAGATTTTTGGAGAGGAGAAGGTCACATTCTATCGAGAGGCTCAGTCCGGTCATTCTCGCAGCGCTTATTTCATAGGGAAAAGTCTTGCCGTCAGCTTCCGAATGCTAGTAGCAGCGTTACATTTCACATCGTTCTACATGGTCTTAGCGGCCCCCATGATCTCATTTGCCCTCCAGCTTGGGCTAGCCTTGCTGTATTTCTACTGTAAGTGTGGATGCTTTGGACATGGGTTGACACATGAATGACTGCTCGTTTAGGTATCTATGGGCTTGGATTTGTTGTGTCAGCGGTCACGCGGCGAGAGGATGGACCCCTTCTGTGCATGCTTCTGAGCCTCATCATCTCAGCCCTGAGTGGGTGTGCACCTCGCCTGTCAACAGTGCGGAGCTGGCATCTGGAATGGTTCTGGTATTCGTGGCCAGCTGTAAGCTTTGACTCCCCGCCTGAGACCGAGATGAAAGGGAGACAACCCCAGACTGACTCTTTGTTGTTGTTAGACCTGGTTTTCAGAAGCATTCTACCAGGAGAACACGGCTCCTCTGGCATATCTGTATAATGTCAACGACGCTGCTACGTTTACTGGCTACCGGATTGGTAGGACAACTGTGGATTTGTGGTATGTCTATGTTTGTGCAGCTCGTTGCAACGCAAACGCTAACCTCGCAGTGCTCTCCTGTTGATCGGGACACTGTATCGTGCAGTATCCTATGTTCTTTTCATTTTCTGGGGCTGGGGCTCACAGAGGTGATATGTCGTCTGGCACTGGTGACTTGGAGTGCACGTATAAGCTATGAGACCTTGACATGGAAGTAGGTCGAAGTAATCGGCTCCCCAATCTCCAGGGACCTTTTCAAGATCGGATACGCCCATGGACGCCAGCTCCAGAGACAAAATAGCAACACCCAGACATATCCAATCAATCTCTTCGCACTTGTAATCCCTTCCAGAACTGGATATCTCTTGGATAGGGCCCCAGCCACATCCTCTAGTGCAAAGGCAAGAGGCTGAACCGGAAAAAACACCAGGGCACCTGTCTTATTTAGAGGTATACCGATCGCCAGATCAAAAAACAGATGAATCAGACCGGAAATTAAGAAGCAGGACAGGTAGCGCACATAGCGAGAGGTGATTGTGCCCGGGTGAAGACCCAGCACGGAGCAACTGATAGAGTCAGCGCAAGACGTGAGGAAACGGCGGAACGTCTGGTGCCAAAGCCGCCTGGGTCGATTGGGAGCTTGTTAGCCATTACTTGCGGACAATCCAGAACTGGTCACTTAGCTTTGTGGGCACCCACCTCCAGAACCTGCGAACTGAGCACGCTTCGCGAACCGATCCTTGAAATGGGGGCCACTGCGCGGGAGATGATACATTGAATAGGACTGCGATAACCGCAAGAATGGTATAGACAGCCTTTAGTAATAGGAAGAGGGTCGTAATAAAGAAGAAACTGATATGGGCGTGAATAAGGAAAGATTCCCCCGAGCGGATGGACAAGAGACTGTTCTGTTCCAGGAGGGAAAAAAGATCGCCTTGATTGGGGAGTCGGTGCAAGTAGGACCCGACCAGAAATTGCAAGACGGCTATACAGAGAACGTAGAAGATGCTTTGAAATCCCTGCTGAACGAATCGTGATTTTCGGCAAACCCGCCCCGCTGTGCTATCGAAGCGATACACCGCAATCTGCCACTTGGTATCGAGACGACGGAAGTTACTGGGAAGTGTCAAGGCGAACCATATGGCGTCCCCAAAGCTAGCTGACTCCCGCCCCTTCTTCCACTTTACGTGCTCTGTGTAGCTGATGCGGGAGTGCAGTAGAATGTCAAGGCTGTTGAAAACCTGAATCCAGGCGCCCATCGCCAGGATGCCCCGTACAGGGATGGGGACCTGAGTCGTGTGATGAGCGGCAATTTGAATGCATACGGCAAGTCCCAGAATGGCCACCATGGTTAGCACACGCAAGGGGGACATGCGCGAGGTGAAGGTAGTCACAACTCCAAGCATGAGATGTATCACAATGTACAGACCGCCCATCTTGACGGTGGCTAGAACGTGTTGATCATACTCCAGCAGGAATGGGTTTAGGGCCATAGCGACAGGTTAGGAGAGAAGAAGAAAATTAGAAGTGCGAAGGACTGAACTGTCTTCAGTGTTTAATATATCCTGATCGGCGAGGCCCCACCGACATTGTCAGATGTTTTGCTTCCTACCCTGCTCCAGCCCCAGCCCTCATCATCTGTGCAGTTCACAAGACAGAAGATAATAATAGGGGCCCAGAGTTCTGGTTTCTCCATCAGCCGTAAGCAACATAATCCGGAGAGACTGTCAACAATGGGCCGTTCATTCTTTTGGACATTACTTCTATCCACGCTGCCGTGGATGACCCTATTCTGGGTACTAAGAATACTGTTTGATAGCACGTCCTTTATTATCCTCTTAATCGTGAGCCTCGTGATTGCTCTGGTATACCAGTGCCATATTTACCCTGTGTATACCAGCCCGTTTCGATCACTATCCACCCCCCAGGTAAGTCTTAGCACCTTTTTTTCAACTTGATACAGAGGCCGATGGTGACAATGCCATTCTAGTCCCGAAGCTATTGGCTCGGTAATCATTCCTGGCCCGTCAGACTGATCGGGCGAGAGCTTCCCCGGCTTTGCACGGAATCCCTCGGCAAGCATCTCGTCCGGTACTATACATTTTTCAGCGTGGAGTTGATCTTTGTCCTAAGCCCAGAAGCCATCTCCGAGCTGTGCCTTCAGAAGTCCGGTGACTTTTCCCACTCGGGAACAATCGAGCTCCTAGCAGAAGCCGGACTTGGGTACTCTGGTCTCCTTGCAGCGAGAGGACAAGCACATAAAGTAAGTATAGATGATAATCCTCTTGGCACTCAAGCCACGAAATCTGATATGTAACCTATCCAATAGGGCCTCCGCAAACTGTTTTCACCGGTCTTTACTCCGGGAACTTTGGTCACCATCTCCCACCCCTTGTGGGAAAGCTGTCTAGCAATGGTTCGACAAATCGACCAACGGACAACGACCATACAGATTGGCCAATGGACGTCTCGGTCCGTTCTAGAGCTCTCCGGCATTTGCGTGTTTGGCCAGGAACGAGATTGGCTCGCCCGGTACCCAGGGTTTCTTGAAAGTTTGGAGCGTCGAGTAGCAACGGGACAAATCAAGAAAATCGTTCTGTCCACCTTTCCCCGAGCTATTCGCTCCCTTCTGATGCTGACCCTATTCGGTCGGAAAGAGTTGGCTGACCTACGTTATGTGGAAACTGTTGCGCGAGACTTGGCCCAGCTCGAGAAACAAAAGCTCCTCACCGCAATTAACCCTAGTCCTAACAACCTCATCTCAGTCATGCTCCAAGATGGAGCCCTTTCCGATGACCAGATCGTGGGTCACATCCTTATCTTCTTGGTCGGAGCCTCGGCCACCACCTCGGCTGCTTTCCAGTGGATGCTTCTCGAGCTATGCAGATTCCCTGCCGTCCAGTCACGGCTACGAGAGGAACTTCAATCGTACGGGCACGTGCTGTCAATCACTGGCAGTTCCATCTCCGCCATGGAAAGCTTGCCATATCTACGAGCAGTAGTGGATGAATTGCTCCGTTTGCATCCCACGGTTGTGATGACGGAGCATGAGGCGACCAAAGACACCACGATCATGGATACTCCAGTTCCCAAGGGCACGCTGCTATTGTGTCCCCCGCTGGCAACGAATTTGAATCCTCAGATTTGGGGTGAGGATGCGTCGGAATTTAACCCCGGCCGTTGGCTGCCTGAGGGAACAGGGGGCCAGAACGCGCGGATGCAGCATCCATGTGCGAATATGACATTCTCTCACGGTCCACGAAGCTGTCCGGGTCGGTCTATTGCCAGACTGATGCTGACATGCCTCACTGCCGCATTTATCAGACATTACCAAGTTTCGCTTGATGATCCAGAGCAAGCATATGTGCCGACCGAAGCTGTTTATGCAAAGCCAATGCCTGATATAGCCGTACGATTGGTAAAGGTTACTTAGGCGAAGGAGTAGCACTTTCTTTATACACATCCACCAATTCATCATTCTAACAATTTGCCTCATACCAAGTAGAAGATACTGGACCGAAAGCGAAGGTCAAGTTACGAAAATACCTTCCTAGAGTATTACATTTCCTGGTTAATTAATTGTCTGTGCTGATTTCTGCGGTAGAAGACTGATCTCCACACCATGCATCTGACTCTCATATGGCTGAAATCTGCTATCGCTACTTCTCGCGAGCTAGTTGATTATTCATTAGTTGCCCTTCTGTATGAAATACCAACCAGATTTCGTGCGACAACTAAGGTCTGAAACTATAAGGAGTAATTTGTGTAGCTAAGGCCCTGCCGGGCATTACCACCAGCCTAAATTCCACACCAACGATATACCGGACAAGATTCGATCAAGAATCCACAATGGGTGCCCTATAACTCGCCCATTCCAGCAAGGTATCAATGTCTTTCTCCGCCTGCTCCCAAGCCTGGATGATGATCTCATGTCGCTTTTCACCCCTGATGTGAAATGATGCCTTAAAGGGACTGGGTCGGACACCAATACCCTGAGTCAGATTCCAAGAGTCAACCTCGAGCCTTCGGCCACCCTCATAGGCATGGCCAATGTCGTACGCCCATAGAAGCCGTGCAATGGCAATGGATACGGAGTTCTGTCCTACATACAAGCCCGGGCAAGATCGACGACCGAACCCAAAGGCACTGACAGGAAGGCGTGGGTTCTGAATCCACCGATCAGGATCGAAGTCAAACGGGCGCTCAAAAATGCTCTCATCGGTGTCCAGAGAGAAATGATTGGCCACCACGGCGATACCTTTGGGGATCAGGAATCCGCGGTAGATATCATCCTCGTCGGCCGCGTGATGCAGGCCCCCGGGGCTGGGGTGTCGCCAGCGAAACACCTCACTCACAATGGCCCGAACATATGGTAGCCTCGGGAGATCCTCGAAGGTGGGCATACGCATGCCAACCACGGAATCCAGCTCTTCATGGGCCCGCCGCACAACACCCGGATGCAACACACAGGCCATGACGAAGACCTCGAGCACGATCGCCGTACTATCCGTGCCAGCCTCATAGAGTGCGCCAACGTTGTACCACAGCTCCGGCTCACTTAACCCCAGGGCTCGGTTGAGGCGTTTCGCCGCCTTGGCCCAATTCCACGAGACAGACTCGGAAGCCAGCTGCATATTTCGGCTAAAGATCTCGGTTTGTCTCTTGGGTAAATGGTCCGCCTGACGTCTCCACGGTGCCAGCCGGTCCGGCAGCCACTTCAAGATAGGGAAGACTTCCTCACCCAGACTGATACTCTGCAAGATGCCATTCATGACGTCTTCTAGTTCACGGACTTCCGGCTCGTCACCGCGGGGCATGCGTTTGCCATATGCGAGAGAAAAGATCTGGCTGGACGCATACCGCTGGAACTGGGCGGAAAAGTCCGCGCTGCTCAGCAGCTCATAAATCATCTGCTTGCTTTCGACATCCTGTACTACCTGATAGTGCTTGCTCGCCTGGATCGTCAGCAAGGAGGTATGCAAGCGATGGTGGGCCTTCCATTTCTCCTTAAAGGGCAGGAAGGTTGGAAGGAGGCCGTTGCTGACTCGATCAGCCAGGAACTTCGGCCGTGAGCTATAGTTGGTCCCGCGCTTCTCAAGCAAGTCATGCGTCACTTCGTAGGAGCCCAACAGAATCATTTTCAGACTCCCGAACCGGGCGCAGATAATGGGGCCGTACTGGTCGTGCCAATGTTTCACCGTGCGCCATAAGTGTTCCTTCGGAATTTGATGCAGGTTGCCCAGGATAGGAAGCGTTGGGGGGCCCGGGGGTAGTCGGCAGGATTGCTGCGGCAGTTGCCGGCGAAGGAATATCATATAGCATACTGTGAATAAAGTAGCGACTGCAATTGAGATAAACATGTTCACGGTTTTGGAATACTGGGGAGCAGGCAGATGGAGGTGTTATAACGAGATGTATGACATCCCCACTTTTGCGAACTTTATCGACCGAAAGCCGAATTGAAGTAAGGGGGTGGATGATCTACACTCCCCCTGGCATCCTGTGGTGCTTGACCACTATGAACAAGGCAATGTCAGCAAGCCACGGGCTGTCATGCGAGGCTCTAGTGCTCACCTTATGTATACATCTTCCGGTGTTCAGGAACTGTTCCATCCCGGGTTGTAGAGTCCCGTCACATTTCTGAGGCCTCTTTGAGAGAGCTTCTGACAGATCGAAAGAGTGTCATACATTCCTAGGAGTATATTGCATGTGATGACACCTATCACCCTGCTATGAACATGCAGTGGCCCTGTTTATTCTCTATCTTTTTGCTTCCGGTATGATCAAATTTAGACAAACGATATTGTGGATGTTCCGCTTATTGAACATCGGGCAGCCGATATGCATATACCTATCACATTATACAAGACGTGCATCGGCAGTACCGACACGCAGATGGGTAGTGTCGCTGACAGCCTGAATTAAACCAAATGGAGTCAAATGAGCATTGCGCCTGACTCTTGGTAGTCAATCCCTGCATAGCAGGAGTCCTCCTGGTTTTGACAGGCTAGCTAAGGGACTTTTACGTATGAGACACCGTTGCTTGTACTGGTGGCTTTCGTCAGTGCTGAAAACCCCGATCATCAATGACTCAGGATGCATTCTCCAGGCATGGAGAAAAAAATTTGATTCTTGCACTATATGCAGTGGTAAAGTTATATTGAAGTTAGATTGCGGTGCTATCGAGGGAGATGTTCGAGGATTCATTTGGCTTAAAAATTCTGCGCTTCCTGGCTCAGATGGCATCCAAATTGTCATTTCCCACCCTCTCATCCATTTGACTACGTGCTACAAAGACACATGACGACTTCTTCATCCATTTCGAATGCCCGCTTGAGGGTCTACCAAGATTGGGTGCGAACTTGGCTTCGTACATCTACGCCTTCAAGCAAAGGGTTCCTGAAGGAAGCTTCCGTGGATATCAGCATAATGGCATACTTGCTACAGGACTCCAATCTAGGTCTTCTCTCGGATCTGTCGCTTCTGCACCAGGTTATTGCTTCTTTTCAACAGAGGTTCAGGGATGGACAGATCGTACTAGGTGGATCCTGGCCACCTTCTTCTGAAGTGACAAATCTACTTTCTGAGTGTTATGATCCCCGAGTCGAGTGTACCTGCGAAGGAGTGCTACCGTCGCCCTCAACAACGAATGTGACATCAATCACATGCGTCTCAATAGAGAAAATGCGGTCCGCACAAGATGACGTTATCGAACGGCATTTGGAGTGGAACGGCCGCGGCCTTTTCACTGTAGAAAAGCTCCAGGCTGCGGTCGAGGAGCTCACATTCTGCAATTTTGGTATCAACGAGACCTTGACAAATTGCTTGGGGACCAGCTTTACGTCTATCCCTTGTATCAGTGCCCCCGACCGTCGACCAAGTGCAAGATGCGACAGCGATCCAGATGTCTTCAATAACCTCTTCCCCACATTCGAGAACATCAAGTTGTGTGCCGATGCGAAATACTTCCATGCAATGGCTTGTGGCGGCACCCTGGTCGATCAAGGTCTATTATATGCAATTGCTGACGCCGGAAACGATGTGTTGATTGGCGACTATTGTGAAGCTGCAACAGAAGAAGGGCTGCACCTGCTACAACAAATTGGAGCTGCTGCTGTCGCCTTCTTAAAGGCATGCAACTTAGCGGGCCTCGTCAACGATTGGCAACTTGATGTCCTCGTCGCAGCCCATATACAGTTTCGCGTACTAGGTTATTATCGTAACCATGCTGTCGCTAAATTACCAGCCGGATTATACGGGAGCCGCATGACGGGTATAGCGATCCACCGACATATAGACATTGCGAATGCTGTTGGAGTGGTCGCCGCCTCTCTGGCCACAGGAGAGCAGTTGAATGAATCTGAATACATGCAGCTTTCCTACGGAACGACGCTCATCAACGACCTGGTTGACTTTCGCAGCGATGCCATGCGCAAACAACGGGAAAACCCTGTCCTCCGAGGGGTCCAAGGATCTATTTGCGAATATCTCCGCCAGCAAGTGTTGGACTGTCTGATCAACGTTCGGACTCTGATCGAATCCAAACGTCTGCTTGCAATGGTGACCATGGCTTTCTGCAACTGGTGCGTCATGGCATCCCATCACAAGCTGCATGAAGTATACCATGGCGCTGTGCAGAATACAACGCTCAAGCAGCCATGTAAGTACCATGGGCTGGAAGAGCAATATGAGTTGTTGCTTAATGTCTTGCGCCCATACGGGTCAATAGGCTCTGCTGGGCCGCATTTGGGGATGAAGCGCAGAGATTTGGATCAGCTCTATAGCCATTATAAACAGACTCCTGAAACTCACCGAGCGTGGCTCGCTGACATGGTTCGAATTCTGATGCAGCCTACGACTTTTCGGAGAATTGTTGACGTTGTGCATTATCCCTGGGTGGGAGACATTGGAGAAGCAGAATATTGTCCTTGATAGGATGGAACGTTAATGGCTATGGGGCCCTGCCAGAGTCTAGGAACCATACTATCCAGATGGTTACCTGGGCTCCAGAATATCAATTCAACCTGGTAATTTTCTTACACTCTAATCCGTAAAGAACTAGCGAGGAGTGGGGACTAGATCGTATAGAGGATGCGTTCGAACCAGCTAGAAAACTAGATACCCAGTCAATATGCACTGACTGAATCTATACCACGATCACCATGGGACCTGCCATAAAGAGCCCTATATACATATCCTGGTGGTCAGTCCTCATCAGATAAAAAATCTGTCTTATGTACTTCAGAGCCTCTATCAGATTGTTTTGTCATGTAATATCTACTGTCCAGGGTAGAAGACCTGTCAACTAGATAAGGGTACGTAGGCACAAAGGTAGATAGTAGATAGCATAAACAGGAGACTAGTTCTTGCTTTTCTCTATTATCAATGTTAGGCTAACTTTGTCGCTAAAAGGTCCCTCCCTTCTCCTAACAAGATTCGACTGACAGGGGGCTACTATATGCCATTGAAAAGGCAACGGATATAGGCTCCGACGTTGCCGGCCACCGAATTGTCTCTGCAGGGTGTACGATATAGTCATTATGCAGAGACATCATTGAATCCGTGACGTTGTTAGTTTAATATAAGCTACTCTAAGAAACAGAATTCTCTAAGTATCTCTAGGCTACTTAAGATCAAATCTATAGTTGGAGTTGATCAGATTGCCCGATAAAAGATAAGGATCGATTTGAAACCTGCCTAGACAGAATTGCCCACATGACCAGTACTTTGCGTCGACCGTATGAACTCTTCATTGCCGCAACCAATATACAATTCTTTAGCTTTTTCTCTTCGTACGCGGGACAAGGCAGAGGATAAAAAACCAGCGCGGCAACTAACCTTAGAATATCATGGATTGTGTGATCATGCAACACAATATCTATAAACTGGAAGCAATTGGGCGGGTCCCAGCCTATGCGCCAATCGAGTAAAGTCCCGAGGATTCCATTCAAGTGGGATGAAATGCTAGTTGTAGACCATTTCGGAGCTGGGGATAAAATTGGTGACATTTCAGACGATGAGACAAACAGCCTTCTTTTGGGTGGCAGCTCCCCCCTGCACATGCCAATCCAGGGAAATCTACAATTAAGAAAGGGTGGCCACGACTACGGTGCAATGGACTGCTCTCCTGGATTAAAAGATGAAGGCCTAGATACATATCAACTAGACAGCGCATACCTCGTATATAAATTCCGCTCTATACAATATCGTACTGCAAATGTGTTAGACAAGCTCACAATCCAGGTCTATCTACTTCCATAAGGCAATGCTATTGGAATAAGCCACATATGACATGAAGAATAGTGTATAGACATGATAACTTTTGGTGAAACGTTATGTCGCCAAAGACCACGCACTTCCCGAGATAGATCTTTCGATAACCTCTATGACTCTCCCACCCCTTATGATCCTGTCACAATCAATAGGACAGCCAAGTACATGTTGCACCAGTGCAGTGTGTCCTGCATCGTCCTACGGGGCGAATGACACACTTTCGATCAAGACATCCACATTTATACAACAAAAAAAAAAAAAAAAAAAAAGTAAACCCAGCAACAAATAAACAAACAACAGGTCTTGAGGACCTTCAAGCCCGGGATATATCCAAGTGAACCAACGCCATTCAACGCTGCAGCAGAAGCGATAATCATAATCACATAATACACTCCACCTTGAAAGTGGACCAAGGGCAATCGTCAATGTGACTCAAAACCGCGACGAGCCATCTTCCGTATCTAAATCACGACCAACACCCATTAGCCCAGACACTCACAACTGAGCGAATGCAATATAAGAAGAGCACGTAACATACAAATAGCTGATTCGAGATCCCTTGGCGTGGGCTCCTTGGTGCGCGACTCTTGTCGAAGACCCCCCACATTTTTCAACCGGACTGACCGCATGTAGAGCTCCTGGTCGCGAGAGAAATTGTATCGGTGCGCTGCATGGTCGGTGGGATAGACCTGTTTCCACATGGCGGCACCCAGCGACACGGCGGCTAGACAGGCGACAATGACGATAACGATGACACCCGCGGTTGGGATACCCATGATGGTTCGGATGTGTCGGATAAAGAAAGTTGGGAGCGTCTCACAGAGTAATGGCGTCCGTTATGGAGGTGGATGGGTAAATAATGCTGTCAGCACATAATCTCGTTGTTTGGGATGTACAGGCGATGGGATGCGGATACGGGCAGAGGTTAAAGTAAAGCTAAAAGCTCGACGTCCATCAGCCGATCCACGACTTTAAGTAATGGCCAACTGATTGGTATCGCCGACTTATGCATGCTTCCCCATTCCAACTCTTTCGATGCATGGGGAGGGTCGCTTTTCATCTCCATTGGTTGGTCTCTGCAACTTCCGAGTCCGAGTGGAGCGACTATCTTGAATCTGATTGGAGAGGTATTATTCTTTTCTTGGTTTAGAAGTATTTATAGCCATTGATAAGTCTTTGAACTGATACTAGCTCCATTTTCCCGCTTTTCTTGTTGCCTTTTTTTCTTGTTTTTTCTCTCTCTCATATGTTTTTTTCCTGCATTAGGGCATCTTCTACCGGTTACCCTATCAACCCCTCGGAAACACCCAATGGTTCACCTTCACCGAGGTACCAACGTTTCCAAAAGGCAACGTTCGAGATGCACCAAAAGAAAAAGGTACCGGACGACGGGCCACGCGGACTCCGTGGACGGTTCCGCAGTTTCCGAGTCTAACAAAGCTTGACCATCATCTCGTCCATTTCATTCGATACACTCCGTTAGGCAGCAAGAATGAAGTTTGAACGTCGGCGTTAGCGGCAGAAAATTCACGCCTGACGATCAGACGAGTTTCATTTGTTTGATCGACACGACAAGCTGATTCATCCTCGATCGTGTGTTTCTGCGAGATATGCCTCGGCTCGACCCGTCAGCTTTTCGCTTAGTCGATCGCCAGAGTTAGCTGGCCACTATTTAGCACTGCCACCCAGGAACCTTGTCCGGATTCCGTAGTAGACGCGCCAACGGGCGGGACGTCTTGGAGCCTTGGTTTCTTCCCTCGGCATTGTACCTTGGCCTCCTAAAGCAGACTCGCTTGGAATACCAAGAATGTGAAATAGGCACGCTCTTTTTCCCGGCTAAATATATTCTTCGCTAGGTCCACTTCGCAGTGGATTAGAGGCTATGGTGCACGGCAGAAACTGCGGAGAACTAGGTAAATCTACCGGTATCTCGCAAAGGGATTGATTTTTTCCAACGCGACATAATGGTCAATTTTACACTGAATGCTCTCTAAGCCTGCCACTCCAGCTCTAAACTATCAAGGCCTCCACTCAATAATATCGACATTATAACGCATCACTGACTTTAACTGGGTCAGATATTATGCATATTTCTAGCCGTATTTGTGGACTTCCCATACTCCTGAGCTTTTTCTTGAAACCACACTTTGTTCCTGTTCTATGAACCACAATTACACCGTACAATTAGTTATAAAGCCCGCAATATTCAGATTCACTAACGAAGAACTCCAGTCCGTCTCTTAAAATATCTTTGTCATGAAATGCTTATTCGTTCTCCAGAAGATTAATAATGTCTAGAGAATGTGACAGACCCTAGCTCCTATCAGCTTTTCAGGCAAGTGCATAACCGGATCAAGTGCTGTATCAACTACATGTGATGAATGAATTAATTATAATTAGGGAACTGATCAGCCCATCTCACGCCCATAGCCGCAAAGATCAATTCGATCCATGAATAATAAAATCGGATATCTTCTCCGCCAACATATCTGGAACTCATTAGCCATTGTCCATTCCATTCCAGCAAGAATATAAAACTTACAAACTGTCGACTGAGGATGTCCCGGAGGAAGAAATGGAAAAGCACTAGCATCCACAACACGAACCCCCTCAACACCATACACGCGGGCCTGACTATCAACCACCGCCATCTCATCATCCGAAGTACCCATCTTGCAGGTACAAGCAGCATGCCAGAGCGTCATCACATTGTTCTTAATATATTCTAAGATCTGGCCATCGGTTTGGACATGTTTCCCGGGATAATACTCATCGCCTATGACCGCAGGTGCCATGGCTTCACTCTGGAATGCCTGGCGGATACGCTTGAACATTGCCACAGCTACTTCCTGGTCGGACGTCGTATCGAGCCAGTTGGGATTGATAATCGGTAAATCGGATGTATCGGCCGATTTCAGTGTCACGTTTCCTCGTGATGTAGGGGTGATGAGGACACCCAGGATGGAAGCGTATTGGTATCCATCTTTGGGTTGGTCGGTTAAGAGGTTGGAGACGGTGCCCATGTAGCCTGCGCCGGAGATATACTACATTTAACCATATTAGCGAATACTAGAAATGTAGACACGGCAGTAGACCGAAATACCTCAGCTTCAGGCCAATCACTCGTAAAAGTGGCCAAGTTTTTCAGGGTCTGACTTGTGAACGTGGACCGCAGACTATCAGGGATCTTCTCCCATGCCAAATAATCCGCAACCGGGTTCGTAAGCGGCCCACTTTTCATGATGGACGAGTTTAGAAAGTCTTTGACGAGGTTTAGCAGGTTCGTCGCGATCTTAGTGAAAGTATCCACATTAACCCGGTATGAAGGTGCAAAGAATGGATGATCCCACATGTTCTGTCCAACACCAGGTCGATCAGCAAGTACCTCGATATTGTGCTGCTCTAGAATATCCTTTGGTCCGATTCCAGAGACCATCAACAACTGCGGGGATTGGAAAGCGCCTGCAGAAATAATCACTTCTTTCTTTGCGCTCAAGGTAAAGGTATTACCCAGCGGACCCTTGACCCGAACTCCAGTTGCCCTTTTGTTCTTGTCAAAGAGCACCTTCTTAGCCAGGGTATTGGAATACGTGGTTAGGGGGGGTGCTTTGATGGATGCCAGGAATGAGCTCTGAGAGCTGCTCCGGAGCTCGTCCTTCGGGCTAATAGTCGAAGCGCAATACTGGGTGCCCATTAACGAGCCAAGATTGAAATCTTGGGTCTCGTTGATCCCGATCGCCTCCATTCCGCGACTCATCCAGGTTGAAAAAGGCATCGCATAATTTGCGTATGATACTTCCAGAGGACCGCCTTGAGAATCATACGCGGCTGCATCGAAACCAGTCGTTGCATTCGCGAACCGCGTCTTTGTATTTGGGGGTGTGAAGTGTACACTTTTCTTATAATAAGTTAGAGCCTGGTCAAAGGTGTAGCTGCTGTCATTGACGGCTGTTGCCCATTGCTCCATCGATTCACGCGTCGGTCTGAGATGGTATTAGCTCAGTCAGACATACTCATGTCAAAAGGGACTGACCGCTGGTATATCATAAAGTTCATAGCGGATCTGTACGTATTCATTAATAAAGTGCGACGAGCTTTGGCTTAAGCTGAAAACATACGAACCACCCAAGCATTTCCCCCGCGCATAATGTATGGATCTCCCATTAGCCCCGGGGACCTTCTCCGCCACAAATCCCCAATCATGAAGAGCTTTGGTATCGGGATCCGATCCAACAGGAAGAACATCCGCAGCTGGAACCGCAGCTACTGATTCCAATTCATAAAATCCACCTGCCTCTACCAGGGCAACCTTCAATGACTTCTGCGCTAGCCGAGTGGCAATGACATTTCCGCCGGTACCGCCACCGACAACAATGTAGTCAAATGATGCGTCTCCAAAGCTTCGCGCATCTAGCCCTGATACGGATGCATCGGACTCGGTACTCAAAGCAGCGTTCGTGCCTAGAATTAGTGACTGCAACGCGAACAAGAGAAGCGCAGCTCGACGCATCTTCAGGATAATGTTAGGTATTGGCATGGCAGGAAAGCTTCCGAATGACACTTACCTTGAATGCCAACAAGGTGATCTGGAAAGAGAGATAACCCTAGTATTTCGCAGGGCTTATAATTAATCATGTCAAGCCAAAGGCATAAACCCTGATACATATAACCAGTTCCATGATCCCGTCACTCTGTGAATCAGGCAGCCCACAAAATGGGCCATGCCTACCATTTCCAGCAGGGTCTGACTCGAACCTAACAATTGATGTTAAGCCACATTATTAGATCTATACAATTTGATTCGCCTTGTCTCATTTAAGAGGTAGTGTTGAAACAGCCGCGTTGGCCTCCTACGTATAATGTAAAACTGGCCTGGTAGATGCTCCGATCTCAAAATCAGGGTTTTGAAGACATGCCGATCGGAAATGAAAAACCAGGTCCAGGGGCTCGTTGGCCTTGGATTGAACGCATTAATCTGGAACATCCACACTGTAAAAGAGAGGAACTAGCCTCGTCGGTATTAGTTCGCTCTCTCTAACGCTTATTCAATCGGTAATGATGTTTCGACATCCAGTTGTGGGCTCACAAACAAGCTGTTCGGTAATACCCCGGAGCAAACGAAACTATGTCTGGTTAGTGTTAATCCAAAAATAGGTGGAAACGGGCAACTCCAGTTAAGCCTTGGTTTCACCATGGCCGTGGCCAGGAACTTGGCCCCCTGATATACCAACGGTTCTCTCAAATCCCAACTTTGAGTCAGACCCACAATCATCGTGCGGACCCACCCTTTGGTTTCTGAATTGACTGACTCGTGAGTGGGACTATTTACGAAGAACGCATATACTTTACGGAGTCTACGGTAAAGACCCTTTAAACAATCAATTGAGCAGGTACTTGGAAGTTTTTATAGCGAAGTGTACCCTAATCCTTGTAGTGGAATAATGTATATTGACTGGTTGGAATAGCTAGAACCTTGTAGACTTTACAATTTATAGAGTATATTATTAGCTTTCCCTGCGTAGAGTAGTTAAGCGTGTTCTGAGCTTCATGAGATATAATTTATGGTGTGGTGAGGAGCATAGTGGCCCAAGGAGGCATGGAAGAGCGATATATATCTCCGTAGATTTGGGTTTACATAAAGACAGTTGAAGATAATTGTAAGATATAGGCTACAAGATGTACAGTATTACAGAGACCAATTATACTCAGTATTCTAGGCAAAAATATATTGATTAAAACAGAACAAACTTTTTAAAGATCCAAATCCTCTAAACGATCAGTTGGGGTAATTGTTGCCTGAGGCATCGCTATTTACAGTGAAACCAAAAGAACTGAAAGATAGCAGAGTAAGTGAAATTTTATGTCTTTCGGAATCCTACTTTCTGCTACAAGAATCTACTTATGAGGAATTCTGTGTAGTAATTGAATTAATTGTACGGCTTATATCCGCCAGATAATGGATTCCCTAGCAACGGGACTGCTTGTAAAAGCGTTCTACTGGCACGAGATTCTATTCTTCCTTTTCTTCAGTTTCTCTTTGCTAACATCTGGTTTCAGCAGTTACGAGACATAAGGTCACGGATGAGAGTATGTGCACAGGGCTATCGAGTCGATATCTAGTACTACCTAGTACGGTTGACCACGGTTTTACCATTTTGTGTGGGCCAGTTGTGGGGTTCCGGCCGAATGCCTTTCAAACATCCGAGAATTTCAGGCGAGGGGTCAAAGAATGCAAAGCCGAAGGGAACAGTAGAAAGTAAGATGCCATTTACCCATAGTAAAGGTGTCGATCAGACACTTGCGAAGAATGGAAACCAAGGAGAGAAAAGGGGGGTGGAATGGCCTTACGGAACCATGCCAACAGCCAGCCACGAGAAAGACCCCAAATAGAAAGCGATTAAAGGCAAAGAAGAAAGGCCTCACTTAAGGTGAGCCAGAATCTGAGCGCAAGGCTATGCTGTCAAGTATATCGGGCAGGGTGCTGATCTAACTGGTCGATGATAGATATATCCCAAGAAGCGAAAGGCAAGAGGCAATGATAGTCAAGGCTAGTGTATTTGAAGGCGGGCGGGAAGAAAATGAAGAGGAAGAAGATGCATGGCCGTGAATGAACTATAGGACATTAACTAGAGATAGTGGTAGTGATCCAGAATGTGATACGGCCCAACAATGATGCCAATAGCAGCAAAGAATATTCGGAGCTACTCGCTTGAAAACAGACCTTCCATTCCTAGCTCCAGCAGCTTCTTATCAGTCAGGGTGCGGACGTCTTGTATAAGTCTCCACATCAACTCAATCTTGCCGTGGGCCGCCTAGATGTCATTAGTGGGCATTTTGCAGGTGGGATCGCAGCAAATTGCAAGATGATTATGAGATCTAGGCCTAATAGTCTTTAATATAAACTATCAATGACTGCTAAGTGGGGAAGGCTTCGCCAATGCAGCAGCTGGTTAGCTGTGAACCGTGATTCAGCACCAGGGCGGGGTATTATTATAATTTACACATTATTGGACCAGACATAGGTGTAACTCCAGTCTTGCTTCGCCAGAGCAGTAGGAACTAGGAGATGTACATACGTTTTCAAGGTTGTCGGGTGAAGGCCGCGTAGCTGAGACGAAGAAGCATTCTGATATGGGAGTGATTAAAATTCCTTGTAAATGAGGGACTGTGGTGTCTAATGATGTAATTGCTGTACTGAAAATCATGGAGGGTATAGCTGAGACGTGCATGCGTGGGGTATTGTGGCTTGCGTTGTCGAAATCGATAAGCGAAGGCAAAGATCGGTGTTTCCTGAGCGATCCAGATAATATCAAACTCAAGCTCTAGTATATCACCGCGTACCCCTTGACAGTCAACATCAGCAGTAACTGATTCCATATACAATGATCCCATTGAGACGGGCAGGGAACGCTTTGATCAACAATTTCTTGTGCCCTTCCTGGCAGAGACAAGTTCTATCATTATCAGTCGCAAGCATGGCACTTATGTGACGGCTTATATGACTAAATACCCCAATGTTATACTTCATAGCCAGGAACCAATACCTCACTGCGGAGGTCCTCCCTCCCGTCGACAGACGAATTGGTTGGAAGCTGGTTCCCGTTAGGGATGGCAATGGTAAAGATATAATACGTGGTTGCGAAGTATGAGCATTCTGGGCCTATTGGAAAGGGTTTGTAGACTCCACCAGTCAACGATTGCCTTTTGCGTATAGACTTAAAGTACTTAGCACCGTTTGGACTCCTTCAGAAAGCGGGCATCCTGAAGAGTAATGCATCAAGAGAATTATCATCTCGGTACTATTTCAGCCATGTAATCTCCCAAAGAGACTAATAGTTTCTTTGGAACATAGTAGTTGACTTAGGTTGGGGTTCAAGGCTCAAGAGTGTCATCACGGCGAGTTGATATACATGCAGCTTACGATCCCGACCAAGTTTCCTTTCTACCAGTTCATCTTTACGACATATTATATATATGTGAGCATACAATCTAGGGAATAACCATAAACGCAACATAGGTATTGCTTCTCTCTTCAACGGCGGCCGAGTTAACGATGTGAGCACAACTTAAAGATATCCTTCAATATTTATTAGTAAAAAGACTTCTCTTAAATATATCTAAGATTAGAGTGGAGCATCTATTACTAAATAAGAAGATATGGATAAGAAGATAAAAGGTACGTATCAGATCAATAAAAAGGTAGTTTTTGCTTTCGAGTACTACTCAAGTACTCTTAATGAGTCCAAGAGGCCAAGCCCTAACTAAACCGTATCCGACGCAGCTGCATGATGACAGCCTCACCTTTCCCCCACCCTGATTTTCTCGGCTATGCTGGGGTATGTCTAACCCACTAAAGACTAGCATCAATTGTAAGTGTTACAATTAATTGGTGTGTCTGTGGTTGGTCAAAACAAACTGACTATCTAACCATACATGTCCTGGCCCCTCAGCCGCGCCAAACACACTCGAACATCGGAGCAAAACTTCCCGCACGCTTCGACCACCTTCCATAACCTTGTCTGCAGGAAGATTGCCTTAGGGTTTTCAGTAGAAACACTATATAAACTACTATCAGGATGCGTCAGGAGCTAAAGGCGTGGGGAACAAATGTGAAGTCTCGTCTACTCCACAGACCCAAAACGACCCAACCTAGCAAAGCAGGGATTACTCACGATGACCCCACATCTTTGTCTCCAGCACCACCCGCAACCAGCCAACATATCATAAACCAGGCCAAGGAATCGCCCTGTCCTCAAGATTTATGGCAAGCTGCATATGACCAGCTAGACCGGAAGGAACAGCAGTCTTTGTCCACGTTGAAATTCAGTCCAAACCAACTAGGAGACAACCAGAATGGGCATTCCCCCACAGAGGCCATTATAGAGAAGGTCATTCAGGGGACCAAACAACAATACGAGGAATACCAAAATGGGAGTATCAGGATCCGGAGGTCAACAGGCGAGGATATTGATCTTCGAAAGCTGTCGCGCAACATTATCGATGCGGCATTGTCCTTCAAAGATATTGTTAGTGCCGTTGTCACTTATGATCCCAGCTGTTATGCAGCAAGCGCTTGGGCTGTTGTCTCGCTTGGTTTGACAGTAAGTCCTCGTGGAGTGTAAACTATCTATGCGGCAAATCGATTAATAAGGAATCCGAATTATCCAGATGACCAAAAACCGATTTGACCTGCGTGATGCCCTATTTGATTCATCGGAGTTTCTGGCAGATGTTCTTGCCCGGTGTGCCTATGTTGAAAAACAAATCTATAGTGATGAGGCTTGGAAAAGAGCCGAAGTAGGACACGCCATTATTGGAGTTTACAAAGTAATCCTCCAATATACAACAGAAGTATTAACTGCTCAACAGCCCAGTATGGGACAGTGGATACAGGATACTATTGTCGGAATAACCAAACAACGTCTCGCGGAACTCCAGTCATCTGTCAAAGAAAAAGAGCAATACCTGCATCAATGGGTTCAGATGGATCAACACTTGCGCCATAATGAACAAGCGGAACTTCTTTTAAGCCAATGTGACAGAATAATAGAGTCTGTGCAATCACTCATTCAGAATTTCAGCCTCCCCATCGCAGAAGGAGCCAGCTATGACTCCTATGATAATCAACATGAAGATAAATGCCTTCCTCAGACCCGGATTGAACTTCGTCGACAGATTATAGACTGGGCCGGGTCGCCAGATGGTAAATGTATATTCTGGTTAAACGGTATGGCAGGCACTGGAAAGTCTACTATTGCCCGCACAGTTGCACAGTCTCTGAGGGAAAGGGGGCTACTGGGAGCAAGCTTCTTTTTTAAAAAAGGAGAGGCGGATCGTGGTAATGCGAAAAGATTTATATCGACACTTACAAAGCAACTAATTACCAGTCAGCGTCAGTTAGTGCCAGGTATCGTGGCGGCAATTCAGAACGATCCAGATATTGCCTCAAAAACCCTTGACCAGCAGTTTGAGAAGCTTCTCCTTCAGCCATTAGCGAATCTGACACTAGATGAACCTGCATCCACGGTGATTGTGATAGACGCGTTAGATGAGTGTGAACAAGAAGACGACATAAAGGTTCTTTTGGACCTCTTGCCACAGGTGCAGCAATCTAGGTCTCTACGTCTACAGGTCTTGGTCACGAGTAGACCCGAGTTTCCCATCCGGCTTGGGTTCCAACATCTGGAACATCAGAACTTGGTGCTTCATGAGCTTCCTACTCTAGTGATTGAACGTGATATACGGCTATTTATCCAAGATCGGCTGGGGAAAATACAGCACGAGCATTCATTGTCCCCTGGCTGGCCAGGAGAAGATATCACGGAGACTTTAGTGTCTAGATCCGTCCCTCTCTTTATCTTCGCCGCTACCATGTGTCGCTTTATCGGGGAGAGATATCAGGTACCGGAAGATCGTCTTGATGCAGTTCTCAAGGATTCAGCATCTACATCTGGCTCCCAGATGGAAAGAATATACCTACCAATATTGAACAAACTACACGAGGAGACCGAGACAAGCGACTTTCCAAAACAACTACAGGATGTACTTGGAGTTATCATTCTTCTGGCAGCTCCCCTTTCAGTTGAGGCCCTCGCACGACTTATTGATACTCCAGGAAGAAGAATTCGCGCTCGTTTAGCAGCATTTCACTCGGTTGTTAGAGTGCCTAGCGACGGTCATTCCCCGGTCCGCATTCTGCACTTGTCATTACGGGAATTTCTTCTCAACACAACAAGTATTTTCCATGTCAGCGAAAAGGCATCGCACCGGAAAATAGCATTACACTGCCTTCGCGTCATGGAATCCGGGCTCAAACACAATATCTGTGGTCTACCAAGCTATGGGACACAAGGTGCAGAGGTTGATACTCAAAGTATTACTACTTATCTCCCAGCAGAGTTACAATATTCCTGCCGTCACTGGGTGTATCATTATAAGCAAGGTAATGACCAGGTATACGAAAACGAAATACATACATTTCTAAAGAGACACTTTCTTCACTGGTTGGAGGCGATGAGCTTGATGGGTTCGATATCGGAAGTGGTCAGTATGATAAACACACTACGGTCAATGACACAAGTAGGTCTATTTAGTCCAGTATAGGTAATGACTAATGACTAATTGAAGCCTATAGAGCGACATATGCTCCGAGCTTTCGTTATTCTTGGATGATGCAAAGTCTTTCGTATTGAAAAACTATCACATCTATAACGATTTTCCACTCCAGCTATACTGCTCCGGGCTGGCGTTCCTACCAACACACAGCATCATCCACAAAACATTTCAGGAAAGCCAAAGATGGGTGCATATTATACCACACGTGGAAAGTTCATTGAGCGCGGAGTTACAGGGCCATCCCGACCGGGTTCAATTGGGAGACTCCCCACCGGTTGGCCAGATGAAGGACAACACCATCAAGCACTGGGACTATTCCAACTCAATCGTGTCACTAGTCTTCTCACCCGATGGCCAGATCATCGCATCCGGCAGCAAGGATAATACTATTAAGCTGTGGGATCCCAATACTGGTCAACAGCTGCGCATCCTAGATGGCCATTCAGACTCGGTTGCGTCGGTAACCTTTTCATCGGATGGAAAAATGCTTGCCTCTGGCTCCTATGATTGTACGATCAAGCTCTGGGATATCAAGGCTGGCCAGCAGTTACGTACTCTAGTCGGTCACTCTGCCTCAGTTGTGTCCGTAGCTTTCTCCCCGGATACCCAGATACTTGCCTCTGGTTCCGACGATAATTCTGTTAGGATCTGGGACACCAAAACCGGTAAACAGCTACGCACCTTGGAGGGCCATCGCGACTGGCTTCAATCAGTGGCTTTCTCACCGGATGGTCAAACAATTGCCTCAGGTTCCTATGACAGTACTATCAAGCTCTGGGATACCAACAAGGGACAGGAGCTGCACACCCTGGAGGGCCATTCTGGCCTAGTTGGCGCAGTGGCATTCTCACCCGATGGCCTTACGGTCGCCTCCGGCTCCTATGACAAGACTATCAAACTGTGGAACCCTACAACGGGTCAGAAATTGCGCACCCTGGAAGGCCATTCTGGAATAGTTCGATCCGTGATCTTCTTCCATGACAGCCAGACCGTTGCCTCCGGCTCCTATGACAATACCATTAAACTCTGGAACACTCAAACAGGCCAGGAGCTACGCACCATAGAAGGCCATTCTAGTCCAGTTCGATCCGTAGCCCTGTCACCGGATAGCCGAATAATTGCCTCCGGCTCCTACGATAACACCATCAAGCTCTGGGATACCCAAACCGGTCAGCAACTACGCACGCTGGGGGACCATTCTATCCCAGTTGACTTCGCACTGGAAGGCCAGACGGTGGAATCAAGCTCTCTGCTATCGGTAGAGGATGGCTGGGTTTGTTTTGCATCCGAAAAGGTCTTATGGCTCCCGTTCGATTATCGTCTGTTTTCCTCTTCCGTGGCGAAAGGGAATACGCTTGCCCTTGCGTATCCAGATGGACGAGTTTGTGCCATGGAGTTTGGTGCACCTGTGATGTAGTTATTTACTATTATATCTCTATTTTTTGCTAATTTACAGATACCGAGGTGCACGACAGAGGCCATCACCACGGTATGAACGGACAGCCAGGCGATGTGGGCAGAAAATTACATTTTCAAACGGAACAAATGAATAAGGCTGTACTCGACAAGCTCGTCATAGCTAGCAAAGCTGGTATCTCGCTCTATATACAAAACGTCTCTATCTCTGTACAAACAGGCGCTCTCATAAGTCTCAACAGTTCCAGCGGGGAACAACTCATCCAGTGGGGTAAAATCGGAGCCACCACCAGCACACACCGGTCTGAGCATAGGAGTAAGAACCGGGTAAATCCCCCGGTGTCAAGTAGTATTCCCAGAACAAAAGGAATGCATTCTTTCGTCATGAACCCGTGTGTCCGTTCTCCCCCCTCACCGCATGGGAACCGGCCCGGTCAGTGAGGTGGGTACGGCATGCTTATATATAAACTTAGGGTTAGGGCCCGGGTAGGGGACCAGTTCAACCCGATCCGGTCATTTACTGCCACTCCCGAGTGGGTCGTCATCAACCGGTGGGCCAATCCCATCGCAGTGTGAGTTATTCTTGTTTTTCCTTTTTCGCCTTGGCGATAAGATAGGGATTTAACTCAGCCCTCGGTTTCATACTCCTCCCCGCATAGCTGAAGTTGTTGGTGCAGGAATGCTCGTCCTTCGGTATTGGCGAATCCACCGATGCCAAATGCCGGAATAATCCGGCACATACGTGTCAGGGATGCGCCGATCCAGTCTCTGCTGACCCGCGCAATTCGGTCGCGGGCGGGGAGCTGCATCGGTCGGTTGTAAAGGTCTAGGCCGAGGAGGTGGATGGGTGTGCTGACGAGCTGGATGGAAGCAGGGATGGCGAGTTGGGCGAAGAGGATCTTGGCGTATTCGCGGGAGGCAATCCAGTCGGGTACAGAACTGGATACCACAGCGGGGAGGTTGAAGGAGCCGAAGATGGTCAGGCCGTCACGGAGAAGGAAGGCGGAGTAGGTTGCGAGTGGCATGGTACGGATGGAACGGCGAAGGAAACTGCCCTTGGAGACGGCTGTGGGATTGGGGATGGGGTTGGTTGGCTTTGCAGCTGGGGGGTGACCGAAGAGCTGAGCGAATTTAACATCCTTCCAGATGCCCACGGACGAGTTGACGACGAATGTGGAGAGGAATGTCGCCATTCCCGAAATGGCGTGGTCGACATCAGGGTAAACTCGATCCAGGACGGTTTCTGTAGCGTTTGCTGCTGCGAATGTTGCGGTGTAGAGACCCCAGACTAGAAGACTCGGGCGGGATGTAAGGAAGGTCGCTGGTTGAGTGATGGAGAGCCACAGATGTCGGCGGAACGCTGGCAAGAGAGGCTGGTTGTGTGATGACTTCTCCACGACAAGGCTAGGATACGGTCAGCAATGCTGTTGGGTATTTCCCTGACTGGTTGCGTTTATCAACGATGTAGGGCAAACGTACCGGTCCAGAATCATGACGGCCGGAGTGATCAGTGATGCTGAGCCTGCAGCAGCTATTACATCTGCTGTGAGGAGTTCCGCTAAGCGGTTCCTCTGCATCCTGAAGGGGAATGCTTGGTGGATTGGGAAGTCTTGTTCCATGTTGATTGCGGTAACGTGCTCTCGGGTTCAGGTAGACAGTCGATTCATATATTATTTACCGGGGTAACGAGGGATATCTTCAGGGGTGCGTCGTTTCAGGCGTGTCACCGTATACGTCCAATGACTCAACAGAGGAAAAGAAAAAAAAATAATCAAAAGAATGAGGAACACAAGAGTCTTTGCTGGTTCGTTAGATATAGTTATGTGTGGAGGGCTTCCGGGGAACTCACCTATTCTCGCTCAAACGCTGGGGTATACTGGGTTAATGATAGACAAAAGGAAGGAACCTGGGGCTAGATAAAAAGGAAGGGATAAATGAAGGAGGGGCTCTATGAACAACCATTGTACAAGTAACAGAAGGAGATCAATCCCAATGACGCCCAACTGTCAAGCCCACAATATTTACAACGAAGCATGAGAAATTCGGCGCACGCGACCAATCAGACACGACCGGGCCGGGAACCCGGTTACAGTCGGGGGTACTGAGCGGTACCACCATGCCGAAAGGTGAGAGTAATGGAAATTCAAGCTTCTTTACCGACTGGGATTAGAGGTGGATCGCCTTCTAGAAGACGATACGAGAAGAGCGAATTGGCGGACGCGACAGTGTTGGACCGGGTGGAGTTGCCCTAAGGGGGCTGCCCTGCCCTAATGTGCCCTAATCTCCGCATTGATCTACGGCGTACGATAGTGCGAGGGGGATTTTCTGATCGTCTTGAAGGAATAACGAGGGCATTTTGTCGCCGAGCGATAAGCCCGTCTCGGTATTAACTCGGAAGCTATCATTTCGCGACTCGGAGCTTCGCGGAATGTCGTCCAGCCAAGACAGCAGCATCGTGTACCTTTTATAGCCACGTGAGCGAGAGTGCAACACGCCCGGGGCACGATCTGAATGTTTCATCCTTATCACCGTACTCAGCCTCTTTGTCAATGTGTTTTGTAACGATTTGCAAATTCCATCCAAAGTGGAGCGGACTATATGCAATAGGGGTCCACCGGTACAGGTGATAAGCTGATAAAAGATCGGTGTACGTCCTGTTCCTGGCGGCGGGACAACGCACAGGGACTTGTCAGCATGGCTCGTTTCAGGCACCGCATCGACAAGAGAATAGGGTTATCCTTCAGAGAGTGGTGCCTGATTACTAGACACCAGGTCTATACGTCTATACCAAGGTAAAACCACCGGAACCGGGTCAACAAGAATTTCATGTTCTTCTAAGTGTAAGTGGGGTTGGAATATGGTGAGATTTATCTTCACAATGCTCCATTTACCTTTCATATACGGTTAATCCACCGCCAGCGCACCAAATTTCAAGCCAATAGCCTACTGTATCAAAACTAAAGAAAAAAAAAAAAAAAAAGCGAATGCCAACGATGGCTGCAATAAACAAAGAAAACGCTTCGAACAGGTTGAAATCAAGCAGTCAGGGGATGGAGAGACTCTCCCAGTGCGGTTTACAGTGATATTAAAAATGTTTTTCCCCCGCTCCCATAGGATCTCTCTTACATAAGAATGCAACTACCGACTGTCAGCGTACATACGCAAATAGGGGTAATCGTCCATACCAGCTATTCTGCTTTTTGGCAGAGGTGTAGAACATCTTCGATTGTGAGGACAAACCCTCACTCTGAAGCCCAGTTAGCTCCTGTTCTAGACCCACATGTCACATCCACCGGAAAGGGATCGTTTACCTTATTAACCAGGTCGTCAATCTTCTCTCCACGCTCCAAGACGCTCTCAATCGTCTTGTGGAGAACAATCTTGGTCTCGTCCAGCTCCTTCTGAATCTTCATGATACTGTCCACCTGGTGTGGGTCCTGATACGCCGAGATGTATGTCTTCAGGGAGGGGAAGGAGACAGGCTGGGTGGAGGTGCCTGCGTTGGGGTTGAGGGTGAGGAACTCATCGAGGACCTTGGAGAGGATCTGATGGGCGGCAAGAGAGGGATATTCGTTGTCACTGATGATGACACCGGCAATGCCTTGGGTCCGCGCATACACGTGGAATGTGAAATCTAAGCACAAGAGGGGCGGTCAGGGGGGTGTTGCCGGGTGGCCAGTAGGCAAAGGTAAGCACTTGCCTTGTTCTTGGATATCTTGTCTCTGGCCTTGCTTCGTTCTTTCGGCGACCGTCTTGCTGAACATGGTCATAAACTCGCTGATGCTACCCCTGGTGAAGCGCGAGTAGCTGCTGAGCTCGCGCTCCGCACACAGCTCCACCGCCGGCTGCTGGGCATTCTGTAGGACCTATCGAGCAGGAAGAAGGTTAGATACATACAGCCCTCCAAGAGGGACCTCCACAGACTCACTCCAATATAGAGAATCTTCATTTTGACGGGCTCCGAGTGGTTTCAAGGATGACTGACGTCGTTGACAGTTGGCTGAAGTTTTGCGGGGATCTAATCTCGGAGGCGGAAAAGCATCTCGCCTCACCGCCTTCGCCCTACCTTATTCGCTCCGCCCCCAATTTTTCAGGCAACCACTCACATGCTCCCGTTTGTAGCTGTTGATGGTCAGCCTCAAGCATTAGGCAGATTCATATTCGTCCTCTCATGATATCGAAGTATTACAGTATTCTATGTACAAAACGTATCCAGGGTCATATGTCCAAGTGAAATATGACCCACACTATGTATTCCGACTTTCGGCGGTCAATGCCTCTCTTTCTTCCACCGTCAGATCACTCTTTGCATGATGAATCCGCACGAAGAACACAACAATCAGCCCACCGACTAGTGCCAACGCTGTCTCATACCAGAAAACAGCCTTAAAACTCTTAACCTGGCCAAGGTGTTCTGTTTCTGATTTGACAATATCAGCGAACCCAAGAAAAATGGCAATCCCAAAGTGTAGAGTGCAATTGATCAACGCCCCTGCCAATCCCTGCTTGGCCTTCGGCAGATGAGTGGTGATAAAGATGTTGGAAATGTTGAAGCTGATATCGATCCCGACTGTGCCACAAATCATAGCGGGGAACACGAAACCCCAATAGATCCCACCTTCGGGAATCACGGCAAAGAACAGCCCCGAGCCGGCGTATCCAATACAAGAGATAAGCATGAGGAGCGTTCCCGAGACTTTGTGCATAATAAATCCTCCTGCTGTCGCAAGGATGAGACCTCCGACCGCCATGGGGACCGTCCACGCCACGATTTGTAGTGGGCCTGCACCCATTACATCGGACATGCTGTAGAGAAGGTTAGGACAGGCCTGGAACGCGGCAGAGCAGATCGCACTCAGATACACTTACTATAGAACGGCATATAGAAAGTATATGCCCAGACTCCCGTAAAGGCAAAGCAGTGCAATGACCAGCGGTGTCAGATATTTGACTGCAAACAGATCTCCCGGAAGTAGGGGGTCCTTGACCACCCAGCCTTCAACGTAGACCATCAGCCCCAAAAATATCACTCCCAATGAGAAGCAAACTGGGATGTATGGTGTCTTCCATCCTTGTGGTGCGTAAGAACTTTCCGCAATCGCAAATACGAGCAGGACCGCTCCTGGTACGGAAAGACAGCATCCAGCCCAGTCCATTTTAACGTTTGCCTTTTTCCTCTCCGCAAAATCGCTGGGAACCGAGAAATAGGAAGAGATAAAAGTGACTGCGGAAAGAATTGCTCCAATGAAAAAGTACCACCTCCAGCTAAGGAACTGACTGCACAACCCAGAGAAGAAAATACCGGCGAAGAACCCCAGTGCGGCGCATGCGCCGTAAACGCTGAAAATGAGATTCTTCCGTGGACCAGGTCGATATGTGCTGCCCAAGATCATGATCCCAGACGGAAGGAACGCAGCAAGAGCAAATCCTTGCAGAGCTCGGCAGATGATTAGCATTAGCCAGGTTTGAGAAAAGCCGGCTAGAATTGATGAGGCTGTCAGCCAGCCTGCCCCTGCAAGGTAGACCACATAACCCCCGTACATATCTCCAAGTCGACCGAATATGAGAAGTGTTGATGTCACCACGAGAGACAGTGCGGTTGATGGCCATACCACCGAAGCTTCTGGGATGTGCAACTCCTTGACCAGCGTAGGAACGAGAACATTTGAGCCAGATATGTAATATTCCTAACGATGCATGAATTAGCTCTTCTGAGATATTTGACTAGCACGTGAGCGACAAGCTTCATACCGCAAGAATCTGGGACATGATAATGGAGAATGCAAAAGTCAGTTCCGACCAAGTATTAGAGAAGCATGCAGGACGCTCTCGACCAAGGCGCTCGAGATCTGCTAAGTCCGATTGCTGCTCTAATTGTGATGGGGACTGTGGTGCCCCCAGACTTGGAGAGCCTGTCTCTCCAGCGGACTTCTCCATATTTGGATCAGATCCACTGAGTGGTGTATCTGCAATGGGTGCCATAGCTGGCTGGTGTTAGCTTTGGAAAATTGACAAAGATACAGTCTGCACTGGGGGGATCCTGTTTTATACCACGTTCGGCATTTCTTTTACTAATCGATTCAAGGAATCCTCAAGAAATTTTTAACTACCGATGCATCGTCAAAACACCACGATCCGCACTCTGGAAGGCGTCGAAAAGCCTTGCCTATTAGGAAGAACCGGTTCGGAACATGCCCACAAGGTGGCCAATAGCTTCTAGCCGGAAGCTGCAATTGAATCGCACATCTCTCCACTAACACTATCGACGAATTTTTCCACTCCAAGTAGCTTAGTGGCCAAGATGTCAGTGTGTTTTTAGCCCTCAACTTCCAACTTCCGCCTCAACTTCCGTTTTAGGAAGTTGTCGGGAGTGGGGCAAAACCACAGCTTCTCGCCTCTTTTGGTCCTGGTCCATGAATGCCATCATATTTTCGTTTACTACTCGTTTACCCAGCATATCTCATTGGCTTTGTGGAAAGAACCTCGTTCCGCGAATTAATTCATCGAAGTCATTAACCCCCATTATTTGTGGTATCGCAGCCATCCAATGCTATACCGCTATAATTCTACCTCGGACAAGTGTTTATTTGCCGCTTAGCGCCACCATACGTGATCTATAAGTATTCCTCTCGCACCGTCTTTACTTCTCCCTCTGATTCTCGTACTCGATACACCATGATGAGAAAGAATCACTACTCCACGCCTAACAGCGGAATGATTCGTGACAAGGCTTACCAGGGGTGGCAAAGAAAATCCCAATAAATAAAATCAGGGGAATGCGTAGACATGGGACTGTGTAGGCTATCTGATACCATGATACTATACATCTGAATGCAGCCAGTCTTGTTCAGTTGCTGCTTGGTACATACCGCACTTTTGGAGACCCAAGCATGATAACCCCAGATTTCCCCCCGCCCAAGCCATTGAAAGTTGCATCTTGGCGAGGCTTAGACAATGTGGGCCAACGCTCCAGAAGCGCCGACAAACAGTCATTCGAATCACCCAGAGATCTACCTGTTAGTATTGGTCTCTATACCCAGGCCACGCTGGGTTACTGTCGACAATAGGGAATTAATCGGAGAAAGCCCGATCGATGATGCAGGGGGGCCTAGAACAGCAACAGGCCCCTATGTCATTTTTAATTGTTATTGCTCCGTACATGAATGAGACAATCGAAATGCGACTTGCAATGTCAAGGCTTCGTTGACTCAAGTCATGGTAGTGGTTGCATTGTGTGTCTGTGTTATATTAATTTATTCTCCTATATGGTTCCCGAACTGCTGAATCCCCGTATGATGACGCGCTATTCTTCTGCCCTGGCCTATGTTGACATGATTTCCAATAAGTCGTGATTAACTTTGAGTATGTTCAAATCGGAAACTTTTCTCCGGGAACTACTATTACAAGTCAAGATCGTAGTATCGGACTGTCCCTGGTCTCTGCAGAACGCAGCGCGAGACCATCAACGGCAAAGACAGGCTCGGCTGATGAACAACTGTAGCATCATAATTGGTAGGGTCAACCGTCCCGCAGTCGATTTCTAGACGGCCACGTGGCGAACATTGCTGTCCACCCTCGTTCCTCTCGCCCTCATAGCATTGCCCCCATCTGCCCCTGCAAGATTCACCAAAACTCAAAGCAGTGCGGTACAGTTATCAACGCTATACTATTGGCGGGATATGCAAAATATAGCATTTTTCTCATTCCAGCTTTCCGCTAAAATTTTAACAGCAAGCCTGGAGTGTGGGTATGATAGCTCCTTTGGTGTTGTGGTCAATCAAGTTATCATGTTTGATGTACTTCAAAAAGAACAGAGAGAGAGAAAGAGATAAAAAACCAGCTTCTTTCGGTCATTGAAGTGTACTGGTGATTTGGTATTCATCTAGCTCATAGTGCAACATAAGTATCTGTTGCTGTTCGATCTTGAGCGTACCTAATATTGGTTCGGTGGATTGTGAACCTCCATTATTGGGTGTAAAAGCTATCCACAAAGCTTGTTGGTCATGATAATATTTAACATACTGCATTACATTATATGAAAAGATTGATGAAAACTACCTTTGCAGGCCATGACCTTATGATCCATTGCCCAACCCCCATGAAATGTCACTCAGCTCGCCGAGACTGTACCAACCACAAAGATCCTCGATAGAGCCAAGGGAAGAGCTATTAGTTGTGTCGTTGCTCGGTACGTAGCTGGCTAGATCAAAACTCTCGTCTCCTCCACCGCTAGACGGGCCAGTGCTGGAGCTAGGTGTCGCACTGCTCTTACTCACCCCCGACCCAATTCCAAGCACTGTTTGAGCGATCGTCTGTATCTCCCGCACATTCCTTGCGGTTCTCGGCCACACCTCGCCCAGCACCTTAAGACATCCCAGTGTCATCCGGATCTGATCTCTTGCGGTTGACAAGTTGGTACCTTTCAGTAGAGTAGTGCAGGCTGACAGTAGCGCTAGCGTTCCCTCACTCACCATGCAGGTGGTAAATGGCGTATGGTGAAATTCAGGGAGTGGTAGCGCCAAAAGCCGGATCTGGGACTCGATGGCTCGTAGCACGCGCACGGTGTGTACATTAACGAGATCTGGGATCGGTGCGTCGAGGGGTGGCTCTCGGGCACAGCTTGACACATTCTCCACGGCATTGAACTTCAGGGCTGAGAAGGGTCGGTGTAACCCGATGGTGGACCTAAATGCGTTAGGACTACGAGGAGACCTTACAAGTGTTGCAAGTTGCAAGGCGGAATGTGGGCAGGAGGAGAGGGGGAATTTACACATCAATGATCAAATGGGCTTGAAACATTAGCTCGTCGATCTTTCCGTCCTTATCCATGACCTGCTTCCGATCTTTCGGCAATAACAATCGCCATCCATCCAGACTACAGTCCGCAGCTTGGACGACGTGCGTCGAGTCTTCTTTGGTTGCGATCTTTGGTGCTACGGCTATCGCTGATCCTGCACATTGTACGGCTCCGATGAGATATGCAAAAGATGAGAAGTGAATGGGCTCGGCGGAGAATTCCCGACAGTTGAACTCTTGCAGGGTGCGCGGCTCGGGTATATTCTGGCGCCAGGTGAGCTATCTCGACTCACCTAGAACCTCGGAAGGAGGCATCCAAGGGAGCTGTGGGTGTCAATACTTACTCCGGACTCGTATTCCAGCTCTTCGCAAGGTAGTTCCACCGTAGACGTAATATTCGCAACTCGAAAATTCATGGTCCCCAGCGTACCGGTGTAATAGGCGTCGATGATGTACAACATCCACCATGTCCGCCTCCAGCATTCCCTCAGCACGGGATCGTCGCGCCCATGCGACGCCGCAAAGTCCGACAGAAACATCTTCAGATCAACTGCAAGACTAGTGGCAGCGTCCATCTCCAGTTTGGCCGCGTCCTTATAGTCGTGCCAGAATAAAGCCATAGACAATAAGAGTCGACATTGGACCATAACAGGATCAGATGATGATGCTTGCAGAAAGCAAGCGTCAATGTGGTCTCTCAACGATATTGACCATTCCCGCGAGGTGTAGATATATCCGATCAAGCGCATCACAGCTAGAAGAGGTTCGAAGCTGGACTGTCTGTGGGGATCTTCATACAGTCTTGCGAGGTGTTTCTGGGGTAAGAGAAAGGGGTGACATCCATGGAATTTCTCATAATATGCATTGATCAAGGAATCGTCCTCAATGCCACCAAGATGGGCGGTGCCTGTGCCCGGAAGCGAGATGCCTAAGATGACATCGCCAACCCTGATCGTTTCGCCGGGCTCATGGTGAAGATCTTCGACCATCAATGGAGCGGGGTGCTCCTGGGTCTGCTGCATCGTTGCATATCGTTGACCACTCGAGTCAGGAGTTGGAGATGTTCTCTCTCCCGCTGCAAGTCGTCGACGACGATCAGCCAGGGCTGCGCGGTCGAGCCCACCGCGACGAGATCGTGCATAGTTACACTCCTGTCCGGTTTCAGCGCAGCGCGTACAGCGAGGACGTTTACCATCGCACTTTGAGTGACGCGAGCGACAGGGTAGACATGCCAGCGAGGAGCGCGTGGCTCTACCACTATGGGAGCTTGATCTAGAATCCATGGGGTTTCATCGGCGATATGGTCGTTGATCCCCGCCGGTTTGAATGAATGGCGGGTATTCGGGTATTAATACGCTTCGGGTAATTATTGATACCGGAAAGATACACATCTTCAGTGGTGTGAAGCAGAATGTACGTACCGTACCGTACGGCTCTGGATTGATTAGCCTATCCATCCATTGAACCTATACTGGAGAAGTATGTAGCTAGAGAAGGCTGCGAGGTCCTTAAGACGCTGGGTTCGACGTAACATTCTCTATTATTTTCGGATAATTAGACCAATTGCATTCGAAGCTTCTGAGAAAGACATGTCTATCCAGTGTCTACTACGTAGTATATTGTCCTGATCGGATTATCAAGAACGGCCGCAGTTAACGCTGTTTTTGGTCGTCAATTTGCCGATTTATCTCCATGAAGAAATTAAGGCTAAAGAGGCAGAAGACGATATAGGGACAGATAAGTGGGCTAAAGTGGTGGGTCATGTGAATCATCCCTCCAAATAATTTTAAGTATATCAATAGATTCTATGTCAAGTATATATATAGCCTCAATCTAACCCCTCATGATAAGAACCTAGGTTCCCCACATACATACCACCATGCTCAAATTACATCTGGCTTCTAATAAAACCCTGTAGATTTACATACATTAGCATAAACATCTAGGAGACCTAGTGCACACGGCATGCCCCAACTAGACACTTCAATGATAACACTATTATTTGATACAAGTGGACCACCAGCATCACTATGGCAGGTGCCGATCCCACCTCTGTACACAGTACATAATTGAGAATTACCCCACGGCCTATCTGCATACGCATGCTTGCATTCATGTGGATCAATAACCAACGGCTGTATCTATGAAAGAGTATTACTCAGGGGCCTATTGCTAAATCTTTCGCACTATCCAGCAAGGACACACTGCCGACGCGCAGCGGGGAGCCAGTCTGGCAATGCGCATCGCTTCTGATAATTATTGTACTGTATGGGTGCTACTAGGGTGAGAACAGCAATGTCATGGCTCCAGGTATCTTCGCAGCGACCGGTGTAGTCTGGATGGATTGCAATTTTCTTAACTGTATGAAGCTCCCGCCTGGTATCGAAATTGTACCAGTCGCAACTCCGAGATCACTTGGTTGCGTCCCAGCCACGTAGTGTGCTGCTGTCAGGGCTTTTGTAGGAGGACCAATAGCTGCTCCACATATATGTGAACCACACTAACGACGGCTGGCCGTACATGGGAATTGACCTAAGGTGGCAAGGATACCTCCTACTCTGTCCTGAGCCGATTGACTGGCCCAAGCCAAATTGAAGGAGGGCAAGGAAGCAAGAGTATCAGACATTTCTCATTTATATGAAAGGGATACGTGCCAATAAGAACTTATATCGGATTGGTGGTGGTTGCAATCTTGGATTACAACAGCTACAGATTGAAAGGCCGTGGAAGGGCCTTTCCAATATGTAGTGGCAGTTCCCTTTGAGATTCCAGGTATATGTCCCTGAATAAGCCAACACCAATTTCCATAGGAGAAGGCCTTCGTATGGTGATGATTGAGAAGGTGCACGGCATTAATGCGATGTATTGCCAACTACATATCCCATTGTACATACCCAAGTGTTTGTTGGGATACACCTTGAATTGTGAATGTAGTTGTTCTGTTCCTATTACTTTCTCTTGCAGTTCATATCTCGGCCTTTTGCGTATACTGTTTGATTACTCTCCTAAAATGTGGATTTCTTCCTCAGGAACGTGCTATGGAGCTTGTTATCCGGATTGAATAGTTCCGTTCGGGTGCTGATTTTGCCCAGCTGTGTAGAGAACATCTTCAGTACCATTAGCAGTTATGGTCGTCTAGGCAACATGCTGACAACCTCGTAGAATCAGGAATGGCCTTGAAAGTACTCATAGGGCTCTAACCATTTACTCCGTGCTACACACTTTGCCTTAATTACAAGCTGGATTTCCTAAAACTCTTATGACGATGTATCTCACGCTAATTCCACCAATAGAAGTATTCCACTTCCTACCTCTGATTCACGATTTATAAGACTATTCGGATACTATAGTTGTTATCTCCAATCCCAACAAGCAGGTTTGAAAGCACATAGAATATTATCTGTCGGGTGAGTATAAGCTGTGAAACAAGAAGAAGCTTGATGGCGATAAGCGAAATCAGAGTTGATTTTCTTGGCAGAAGGACACCTATCGTGTGCCAATGCAATAATGACGAAAGACACCAACTCATTATGGAACATAAGTTCCCCGATCCTTGTTGGATTTGAGACATCATAATGTAAGACTCTCGATGCCAATTGTAGAGGTCCATTGGAGCGGCCTTGACATTAGCTACTTGTGCAAGGATGCATCCAACTACGTGTAACCGGTGGTCAGAGCCTTTGTCGGTCCGTGGTGACTATAATTAGACGGCGAGGACCGATCAAGATTCTAGATGATATACGTCAGGTTGGACGACCTCGGTAGAGGATCGGATCGGCAATCGGAGGGCAACCGGAGGGTAAGCATCTGGAACACGCCTCACGGTTGACACAATCGCGAGTGAACACCAGGGTCCGTATATGCGGATAGTTCTGAACAGGACTAATAGCAAACTGACTCGTGGTCCCATTGACAACGGTCGGTGCCAGAATCCATATTCCGTCTACTGCGGCATCGAGTGATCGAGAACGTTGCATCGCAAAGAAGGTTTTGGCTGTCCGTATCTGCGGATTTCTATCACTGAGGCCGACCAATGACCTCTTTGTGAATCAATTTCATGGCATCGGACCACTCACGTGTTGACAATCCTTTGGTGTTCCGACGGATTGCCATGTGTGTCTTGCTGTTCTCTACGAAAACTGTCCGGGGACCAGACTCCAGAGTGGAGAAATAAGCTCTGAAAAGGCCCTCCAATCGGTAGTAAATCCCGCCCAACGATCGAGGTCCAGTCAGTATTCTGTCAAAGGTTCTGCGTGAGTACCCTATCTGGCATGGATGCTCTTCCGAAGGAGTTGATAGATCTAAGCCAAGATGAATTGGCAACATGCAAGACACACCGACCGGCTCGAGACCGTTCAGAATTGAACGGCTGAGGGCTATCATAACCGAGTCGAGAAGGTGCATTACTAGTAGTCGTGCCAAGCACAGAAATTTGTGCGCTCCCCACCGGTATCGTTGCATTCACGTAGTGGGGGGAGGAAAAATAAATACGAAGTTCGGTTAACGAAGAATCGTGCCTGTTGTTCTTGGCAGGCGGAACGGAAAAAATCCAATGAAATAAATGGGTGGCAAAAGCGGTGACTGGCGGAGCACGTGCCCATGGGGTTGATTCAAATTGGTAGGGCTTCGTTTTTGGTGCCATGAATGATGATCCACCTCGACGAATTCGTCATCGGTCCCAAATTCTTCCTGTTGCCAATCCCCCCGTATATGATCCGTTGGTCTGGGCGCCAAGGCGCTCCCCGCTCCTCCTCCAATAACTGTCATGCTACATGTCTAGGCAATGGCACGTCCTGAATTCAGCCAAAGGCTAAAAATCGGATCCCCTCGAACATCTTGGCCAATTCATTGTAGGCTCGTTAGGGATGACTTAAAAAGTCTCGATCCCCTCCCACTTCGTAGAGAATCGAATTCCTTTCCCCCCCCCCCCCCCCATCAGTATCGATCGTTCCACGATCTGACCTACGTCAGTAGATACGTCTGCATAGGGGCACAGCAAAGCTTCCTCACCCATGACGGGCGAAAAGAACACTGGCTCTGGGTCCGGAGACTCTCCCTTGAGTCAACCGGCCCATAGTCTTCCGTACGATGTCGTGCTCAGAGAACTCGGCACTCGAATCGATGAGGGTTTGAGCACGGAGGAGGCGAAACAACGTCTTGGCCAGTATGGTCCCAACAAGCTGGAAGAAGGCGAAGGCGTCTCCGTGGTTAAAATCCTCGTCCGCCAGGTCGCCAACGCAATGATGCTAGTTAAGGGACCCACTTTCCTTTGTCATGATCCCCCCCTTCGTTGTATAGGAGCTCCCAGAATCTGATCCAATTCGTCGTTGTAGGTCCTGATACTGGCCATGGCGGTCAGTTTCGGTATCAAGTCATGGATTGAAGGCGGGTTCATCTCCGCCGTGATTGTGTTGAACATCGTCGTCGGCTTCTTTCAGGAGTATGCCGCCGAAAAGACCATGGAATCGTTGCATTCGCTGAGCTCGCCAACCGGTACAGTCTCCCGAGATGGTCAGACCTTCTCGGTGCCCTCCGTGGAGATCGTTCCTGGTGATATGGTTGAATTGCGAACGGGTGATACAGTTCCGGCAGATATCAGGTAGGTCCTCTGTGTATACCGGAATTAAGTTGAATAGTGGCTAACAGAGAAATCCAACCAGATTGGTCGAAGCCGTGAACTTCGAGACGGATGAAGCCCTCCTCACCGGAGAGTCACTCCCCGTCCAGAAAGAATACGACACCACTTTCAAGGAGGACACTGGCCCCGGCGACCGTCTGAACATTGCCTATAGCTCCAGCACGGTCACTCGTGGCCGTGCCCGGGGTGTGGTTGTCGGTACCGGTATGTCCACTGAAATTGGTTCTATTGCTGCCGCGCTGCGGGCTAGCAACAGTAAGAAGCGCCCAGTGAAGCGTGGCCCCAATGGAGAGACCAAGAAGCGGTGGTATGTCCAGGCGTGGACTCTTACTGGAACTGACGCTGTCGGCCGTTTTCTTGGTGTCAATGTTGGAACTCCGCTGCAGAGGAAGCTGTCAAAACTGGCTATACTTCTGTTCGGAGTCGCCGTGCTCTTCGCGATCGTTGTCATGGCTGCCAATCTGTTCAGTGACAACAACGAGGTTATCTTATATGCGGTCGGAACTGGTCTTAGTATGATTCCTGCGTGCTTGGTGGTCGTTCTTACCATCACGATGGCTGTGGGCACGAAGCGCATGGTGGAGCGGAATGTCATTGTTCGTAAGCTAGACTCTCTCGAGGCCCTTGGTGCAGTGACGGATATCTGTTCCGATAAGACGGGTACCTTGACTCAGGGCAAGATGGTTGTCAAAAAAGCGTGGATTCCCTCGAAAGGCACATACTCCGTTGGCACCTCCAACGAACCTTTCAATCCCACCGTTGGTGATGTAACATTCACTCCGGTGTCTCCGGCGCACTTTGATGATGAAAAGGAAGGGGAACCGGCGGCGCAACCCGAGGATCTCATCCCGGGGAACCGCCAGTTGGAGGACTTCCTCGACGTGGCATCCATGGCGAACTTGTCTCATGTCTATAAATCAGACGAAGGAGAGTGGCGCGCTCGTGGTGAACCAACCGAAATTGCCATCGAAGTATTTGCCTCGCGGTTCAACTGGAATCGTGACCGATGGACTAAAGGTGAAGGCGCTGTGTGGCACCAGAAAGCAGAGTACCCCTTTGATTCCACTGTCAAGAAGATGTCCGTCATCTTCACCAAGGTCACTCCACAAGAGGAACGTTCCATGGTTTTCACCAAGGGCGCTGTCGAGCGTATCATTGATACATGCACCACTGTTATCTGGGATCAGGACTCGTCCACACCTGTGCCGATGACTGATAGCCACCGCAACACGATTCTTGAAAACATGGAAGAGCTCGCTAAACTTGGTCTCCGCGTGTTGGCCTTGGCCCACCGGCCGTACAAAGAAGAGAGCCGTCTGCTCGAAGATTCCGAAGTCAAGCGTGAGGATGTCGAGAAGGATCTCTGCTTCCTCGGACTGATCGGTCTGTATGACCCTCCGCGCCCAGAAACAGCAGCCTCGATCGCAGCCTGCTACCGTGCCGGAATTGAAGTCCACATGGTAACTGGCGACCACCCGGGAACCGCCAAAGCCATCGCACAGCAAGTGGGAATCCTCCCTGCCGATCTCAGCACAGTGGCAGCCGATGTGGCCGACGCCATGGTCATGACTGCCGGTCAATTTGATAAACTCACCGATGACCAAGTTGACGAACTCCCCACCCTACCGCTAGTCATTGCACGCTGTGCTCCCCAGACCAAGGTCCGCATGATTGACGCGCTCCACCGTCGCGGACGCTTCGCCGCCATGACCGGCGACGGTGTCAACGATTCCCCATCTCTCAAGCACGCGGATGTCGGCATCGCCATGGGCCAAGCCGGATCCGATGTCGCGAAAGACGCATCCGATATCATCCTCACAGACGACAACTTCGCCTCCATCCTCAACGCAGTCGAAGAAGGCCGTCGCATCTTCGATAACATCCAAAAATTCGTCCTCCACCTCCTCTCCGAGAACATCGCCCAAGCCTGCACCCTGCTCATCGGTCTCGCTTTCCAAGACCTGGACGGCCGCTCCGTCTTCCCCCTCTCCCCCGTTGAAATCATCTGGATCATCATGATCACCTCCGGTATGCCTGACATGGGTCTCGGCATGGAAGTCGCCGCCCCAGACATCATGGACCGCCCGCCACAAGACAAAGCCGGCATCTTCACCTGGGAAGTCATCATCGACATCCTCGTCTACGGCCTCTGGACCGCAGCCCTCTGCCTCTCGGCCTTCTCAATCCGCATGTGGGGCTTCGGCGACGGCAACCTCGCCCGCGGCTGCAACAGAGAATGGTCCGAAGAATGCGAGCTCGTCTTCCGCGCCCGCGCAACCACCTTCGTCTGCCTGACTTGGTTCGCCCTCTTCCTCGCCTGGGAAATGGTCAACATGCGCCGCTCCTTCTTCCGCATGCAACCCAAATCCAAGCGCTACTTCACGCAATGGATGTACGACGTCTGGCGCAATCCTTTCCTCTTCTGGTCCATCATGGCCGGCTTCATCACGACTTTCCCGATCCTGTACATCCCCGTCATCAACAGGATCGTCTTCAAACACAGCGGTATCTCATGGGAATGGGGCATTGTCTTCATCGAAGCCATCATTTTCTTCATGGGTGTTGAACTCTGGAAATGGGCTAAGCGCGTCTTCTTCCGTAGACGTGCTCGTCGTGCTACCGGGTCGCGTCCTCTGGCCCAGGAAAATGCTCCCCAGATGCCTTAACATTTGCTTTCCCTGGTCTCGTGTCTATTGTGGCCAGGGAACCTTTCATCATTGGGTTTTTCCGTGCGGTATCCGGGTTTCGACTTATTGGTTTTGTGGACGCTTTTAGTAGTACTAGATGTTGGTTTGAGAGGGGATAGATGGGGATGGAGGTGTTGGTTTGTTTTCGTTTTCGTTGTTATTCGTGCTTGTGCTTTTGCTTTGCATTTCCATTTTGTTCTTGTTCTCGTTCTCGTGATTGTTCTAGGATGTTGTGCTTGTGGATGCAGTATATCTGTACCCCGTGAACAGAATCCGGTAGGTAGATCTGTAGCAGCAGTAGTAGGTAGTTTAGGAAAAGAATGCCACTTCGTAAAAGGGTTCTGGGAGTCAGGTAAGACGCGTCTACTAGGCCCCTCCCCTGAATGCGGTATTTGTTTACTGGATGATTTTATTCCCTCGTATAAATATGTAGTTAGGCCGTGCGATTGGTCGGTTTGGTATTAGCCTTCGACTAGTTTGTCTCTATTTTTATATCTATGCCTCGTTCTAAGTACACTCACTACAACTTGTGCATAAAAAGGATAATTGACCGAAGTCGAGTATTATATCTTCGCTGGTGACGGGGTAGGTATAACATGGCATGTAGCCCTGGATTGGATGGAGATTGACACGTCGTCCAATAAAGAAGTCTTTCCGATGAACGGGCCGAGGTAACGCAATTTGGTGCGGGGGAGTTGCTTGTGGAAGGGTTGGTATTTGATGAGATCTGTTGGTGACAAGATCATGGCGAAGCCAGGGGAGAGCCCTTGGAGCCCGGTCGCTTTCCTACACAGCATTGCTGGAGTGAAAGTAACCCAGCATAGTACTTGGTGTATAGTCTTCCACTCTCGGCTTGGGGGTTCAAGGGTGGTTCACAGGCCATTTGTAATGAGGGTTTTCGGCCTGGGGCTGGATTACATTGAGCGCCAGAGATCGGTCGTCGCGATAGGCCTGGTCGTTCATGATGTAGTCCACAACGAAGGGTCAATTTGGTCAATGCAAGCGCTATGAGCCGGGCTGGGGACCTGTGGTTGGTCGTCTTGGCCTCGGTGTTTCGGTCCAGCTGGCTTTCCTTGACCTACTCAATGCAAGCATCCCGGAATGCTCCGTGGATCGAGCCCATTGCTAAGCCACTGGCAGTTCACTTGAGAGCCCGACAGCAGAGCAACATCTGAAGCCAGTGTTCCAAGCACAGGAAAGGTCCCCTCTTCTTCAGGATATATATAGGGCGTGGGAACAGGATTGGTATCCACCGTAGTGGTTGGAGTGAAATCACTGTCAAGTCAGATAAATGATCGGTTCAAATGCATGGGAAGGGAATCATACTCTAACCAAGGAAACGAATCGACTAAAACTTGGTTCGTGTCTACCACTGGATCCGCGGCCAACACCGCCTGCTTGGCCACCTTCATCAAGTCCATACTTAGAATCTTTGTCACAGTGTACCCAGTATGCTCAATATCATCTAAGCATCTGATGCCCTGCTCCACCATGGCGAATGTTTCATGTGCCTTGTCCGGTTCTGTTCCCAGGTTCATCACGTTGTAGAGTAAGGTCATGATGGCTGAGACCATGTACGAAGCCAGCGCCCCGTCGTACCGGATATCGGGAAACCGCCGGAAATAGACGTCGTGGGCCAAACTGATCAAATTCCGCGCTGCCGCCGTCGAGTTGTCGATGCATTCTTGTAGACGAATACAGCCTGCAGCGATCCGTTGTGCTTCACTCGTGGAGGTGAAGAACGTCGTTAAAACTAAGGCCGGTCGGTATAAAAGCATGCGTACAATGTTATAGGCGAATCCCAGACTCAGGCGCTGAATTTCTTGCCAGTCTTCGCCGACGGGTACGGACTCATCAAAGAAGTGCAAGTACTCAGGCAGACATCGGGTGGTGGCTTGTAAGGCTGCATCGTATTCGAGGAGAGTCTGTTCCACCTTTGCCGTGTCCGCAAGACTTTTGATGCTGGCGGGAGAGTAAACGTCCACTGAAATGTGGTCGGCGAGTTTGGCAATGTCAGCCATAACCCTAGTCCACGTGCATTCAACTGCCGGTGGATGAAAAGGCTCATCCATGTAACATGGGATATCTTCGGGATACGCAGTGTCAATCTGGTTGTCGGACAACGAGGAAGGTCGGCCCATATACACAGACGACAACCGCTCGAAGACATACATGATCCAGAAGGTATGACGTAACCGATGCAAATGTGGTTCTCGACCGCAAGTCACTTGGGATCGATGGAGACCTAAGACCATGGCAGTTCGAGTAGCATGGCCCAGATACAAATAAGCATCGTTCTGCCGCATGAGTTGCAACGAATACATGGCCTGGGATGTCAACATACATCCAGATAAGGGAAGCTTGGGTTATGCGTACCTTCAATAGCATCAAGTTTACCCCCTTGACACTTGGCTCCTGCATGAAGATAGAGCCTTCGGACACTCGACTCGAAAAGTACTCGGCCCATTCATCCGCTCGGTTTTCTTGCTCGCTTTTTTTCAACCTGATAACACGAGCCCCTAGAGCCAAGACCATGAATAGAATTTCTTGGTTCTTCACCGGCCGACCTCGTATCGGAGTTTCCCACATCTGCTTCCAAGAATCAATGATCTCCGTATACACTAGCACTGGCATCTGGGGGTGGACGATTCTAAAATATGCTTCAATAAACACATCCCCTAGCGCTTGAGGGAGGAATGCCTCGGCCGCCAACCGTGACCGGCGCAGGTCTCCATCGGCATCAGCTGTGAACATGAACCTCTCCACGCCCCATTTCAGTAAGCCATCCGGGATCGGCCCCGTTCGACAGCTGAGTAGTGATTCCCGAGAGGGCGACTTTTGAATTCGCTGATAAATCCTTTGCAGGAAGGCGCATCCCGACGACGGGCCTGAACATGGTCAGCATTGATCAAGGTCTTCAAGATACATCAGGCGTCCTCACCGTAGAATTGGAAATTTCCGGTCTCGGGATTGGATACTCCAATGCCGGCCCTCAACTCGTACTGCCGCTTGTAGTGGGCCGGATCGTCAACGAGGCGGATATTTGGACTATCCCCAGGCATCGCTGGAGATTGTGGGGCAGGTAGTAACGTTGCTGGAGTTCGCGGTTGTTCTCTGTTTTGGCGACTTTTCCTGTTACGTATGCTACCCGTCCGATAGACGCATCTTTGAGGATTTCGGGAGCAGGCGTTGCATGGCTGTTCACCGTTGCACTTAATTTTCCGCGAACGACAATGTTCGCAGGCCCGAGAAACACGCTCCCTTGGGGAAGGAGTCATCGTGGAAGAGCATAGAACCACACCGGCTTATCGGTGTGGTTGTCTGCAACGCTGAATGAAAGTGATATTTCTGTGCTTTCTAATCAAATGCTTTGTATGCACATCGGGATATCATTAAACCGGTCCACCACATATTTAGAACCTCGCAATCATTGGTCAGATTGGACAAAGCAATCTCTTGGCTCCTGATATCAACCCGCTGATGACTTTTTCTCTTCAGTGGTATAATTGCCAAGAAAACTATCAATCGCTGGAATTGGTCTTAGTAAAACTATACCAAGAGAGGGGATACCAGAGATGGCCAACTCACCTGGGTTACTCAATTAGGACATTATCTCTTGAGCCGAGGAAGGCAAGTAGTTGGAGTAGGAAAGGTGGAGATGAAGCGATGGAACTAGCTTATGAACTGGTGGATTAGTCATCTTACTAAGGTCGGCTCGATTTGTCATCAACTTGCCGGTCCTTCGTCTTTGTTCCAGTGACCAAAACAATATACGTATATCTCCGACTGGGGGCGACGCCAAGATCTTACATATTGTTCCCCCGTCTGAACCCTAATCCCCCAATGCCCCTCCCTTTCTCTGTCCGTAATAAATGCTGACCCCCTCCTTTCCCAATGATTCTCGCATACTATATTCCGCGCTTTCAAAATGCCTCAGAAAGCAGTTGTTTACACGTCTTCCAAGCAGCTATCCCTCGTCTCCGACCGCCCTCTACCTAAGCTTCGTGATGACTACATTCTGATCAAAACGGTCAGCGTAGCACTGAACCCCACCGATTGGAAACATGTTGAGTGGGACCTGGGACTCACTGGATGTCTCGCCGGATGTGACTATTCCGGGATTGTCGAGGAAATAGGAAAGGATGTCAAGAAATCTTTCCGCAAAGGTGATCGAATCTGCGGCGTGACCCATGGCGCGAACATGTTGGAGCTCGAAGACGGCGCCTTCGCTGAGTATATCGTTGCGAAGGGCGATATCCAGATGCACATACCCGACACACTAAGCTTCCAAGAGGCTGCCACCTTAGGTGTCGGCATTACCACCGTTGGCCAAGGCCTCTACCAAAGTCTGAAATTAGCCTTGCCAACTGAGCCCATTTCCCAGCCGGAACCGATCTTGATTTACGGCGGCTCTACTGCCACTGGCTCGCTGGCTATTCAGTATGCCAAGCTTTCGGGCTACCATGTCATCACTACCTGCTCGCCCCACAACTTCGACTTTGTCAAGAAGCTCGGCGCAGATGCTGTGTATGACTACCGCGATCCCAATTCCGCCGCGGCTATCCGCGAAGCTACCAATGATAATCTCAGACTCGCCTTTGACACTATCTCTCTGGATGACAGTGCCAAGTTCTGCGACAATGCTCTTTCAACCAAGGGTGGCGAGTATAGTAATTTGCTGGACAGCAAAATCGAGCGTGAGAACGTCAACGATCGCGCTACTCTAGGCTACACTGGTATTGGAGAGCCAGTTCAGTTCGGCGATCTCAAAATTCCCGCGATACCTGCAGACAGAGAATTCGTCGAGATGTTCTGGAATCTCTCTGAGCCCTTGATTGCACAGGGCAAGGTCAAGGTACACCCGGTTAAGGTTTGTGCCGATGGATTAAAGGACGTGCTGGAGGGAATGCAATTGCTGAAGGAGGACAAGGTTAGCGGGCAGAAGTTGGTGTATAATGTGGCTGAAACTCCTTGATCTTGAACATGGGCAGCTCTTTACTCGGGTTTCGAAATCCCTTTTTGTTTGCTACTATTTTTTCCACGCCGTCCACGAAATAGTCATTATGACACAGAACCATTAACTCGAAGTGTCTGTGTCAGCACAGCAGTACTATGCTCATGTTTCGAAGAATGAAAAGTTCGACGGTTAAATGGTAAAACAGTGACAGACACTAGCGTGCAATATATTTCAATGAACAGAGGAAAAGTCCCAGAGAATGTTTTGCCTGTCCTCACTACACGAACATAGTACATATGGGCGTTTCCTATAATGGCACGCGACTACCTCGCGACTACCTCGCCACTTCTTTGTTCCTTGAAGTCCTTTGCGCAGCTCTGAGACTCTTTGTGTGAGCTAGTCTATAAGAAGGCCCTCATCCGACTAGCGGTTGCTTCTGAATTGGTAATATAGTCAGCCATCCATCACTCGCTTGGGCATTCCACAATACTTATATATCTGTCCCTGGGACTACCGTCATGCCCCCTCTCACCGTCTGCAAACCTATGAACGCAAGTCTGCATCGGCATGAGGTCTATGGTATATATTTGTCCCCCTCCTGAAACATCATGAAGCTATCGGACTACTCGCACTTTTCTACTGAGGTATAGTCTCCAAGCTATAGGTCTTGTCGACATCACGATCTTCACATTGGTACTCCAAGCATTCATCCTCCAAAATGCCCCGCGAAATTGCACCAAGGGCCAAGCACATGGCCCACCTATGTTTGCTCGACCTTAGTATTGGGGAAGCCAGAGCCAAGTTCCATACATTACATGCTGAGACTTTCAGGCACCGGAGAGTTCAAGCCTTTTAACTATATACTTCTACATTCTGTGGAGGGGAGCAAACTGCCACACTCGATGGACCGGCAGCAGACCTCCGCGAGCAATGGCGAATGCTTAATGGTTGTCATCGTCGGCGCCATGACACATCGCTCCTCACTTCCATCTCTCCCCCATGAGTTGAAGGATATTCGAGACACTAGAGGTTCACCTAATCTAGCATCAGTACTACTCCACCTCCGGTATGGACCAATCTAACTCTCATGGAGTATTGTCAAAGCCGACTGGCTAATCTAGTTCGTTTGCCTTGGTTCTGGCCTATCTTTGGCTAGACCTCAGCGTAGAACACGCCCATGAAGTCTATCAAATGTTGCCTTTGCTCAGAGGACGAGATAAAGAGCATGCAACTCAGAACTTGGTTCGTCTCCGATGACTTGGGTTTTAGAAAAATACAACTACCTACTCTATGAATAGGGGTTCCACGATTCGGTCTTGACTAGCCTCCTGGATCTAGTCATACTCGTTTTCCTTACAGTACTTACTATCTTTACGATAGTCATACGAAATTTATATCATCTCTTGATGCTTTATTGTCTACCATTGTATCTTAACATGTTCTCGCCATCACATGGCACTTTTCTGAACATGCATATCTATCTCTAGTCGGCTGTGAGTGGTTTGAGAATGCTTTCAAGGAGCGCCCAGTCTTATTTATGCTTTTAAATGATACATACATTCTCCTATTCATGGACAGTCAATCCCGTCTGGCAGTAATCATCAGGAGTCATGTCGTGACATCCTCGATGCATTCTTCTGTTCAACCCACATACCCATAGTCCCAAACACCCCCAGACACCCAGACGTCATAAGAACAGGCCCCCAGACAGCAGGGGTGAACTGCCCCTTGAGCAAACTCTTCCGAACAGACAGGTATCGAAAAATACCATACACAAAGGATGAGATACTAATGGCTTGACAGAACGTCATGGCAGAAAATCCGCCGTTGTGGTCGAAAAATAACAAGCTGCTGGGATGTTGTTCTTGGCCGTTTTTGCGGTCGACATCGCGTGTCTGCACGGGCGCTGGAGTGGCGGCGACTGTGGCTGTGGTATTATCCGAGCCGACGACCAGGTTCAATTTGCTGCTTGACAGGGCAGACGAGAGCATGCGATCGACTGCATCCAGACGCCCGAGGGCTAGAGCCATAGCTGCGAAGCCGAGGCCCATGCGGGTCCAGGAGAGAAAGGTGCGCTCGTTGGCTTGGTGATCGCGTAGTTGTGAGCCGGTGTTGGCCACGCGTTGGGGGATTATTCGGCGCCATATGGAGGCCATTATCCTTGGCTTAGTATTCTATTCTATTGATCCACGTTTTTAATTATGAGTGTGGCTGTGCTGGAAGTAATTTGTTGGTTGGAAAATGTATTTGGAATGCTTGTTTTGGTCATGCAGATTATCGATTTTTCAGTCTGGACACAGGACCACGTGATCGTCTCAGACCTATTCTATGTGTACTGGATCGATGATGAGATCTAGTCATTTCCTGCTCTTTCGCATAGATTTGGAGAAAGGTAAATGAGGGTACATAGCTATAGATTCTGTTACGTCTAATTTAGCGGGTTTGATTGTATAATAAGTTCTTTTTCCTTATCTTTGCAGTCTATATATATATATATGTATTCTTGTTTGGTAACTGATTGAAGTACAGTATAGATAATAGGTTCGTGTAGAATAACCGTTCTCGGGACAGACGAATTGTTATGCAATGTTCCTATTCTGTCTATTAAAGTCTTTTGGCCCCAAAGCTTCAAAACAGAGTATTGGGGAGCTGTAATGAATCAATTTATATTTAGTTGGTTAAATTACCCACGGGCGCGCCATCACCTGTCTGTCTGTGTTGAATGTCATGGCTCGTGATTGGCTTAAGATTAATCAGCTAGGAAATAGCTGAAAATATAATTCGCGTTCTCTGGAGACCTGAATTAACAATATATATAATACAGTTCTGTAGACAAAAGTCAGTTAAATGGAGCCCGGGTTGACAAGACTTACAAGGAGGCTTGCTGTCTATCTAAACTGTCCTGGGTAGAACGAAGCTCAAGTCTTCTTGGACGCGAATAACCTAATGAGGCTCCCCTTTCTGGAAGTCTAATATGCCTGCAAGCTACCACGGATCATGTTCGAGCTTCCATTTGTACACCCTGTGTCTCATCTCGATGTCGAGCGATATGTGACGAACCAGTAAACACGCCGACATTAAATATGTAACTGCGGTGTTTAGTAAAACTAGTGTTGTTATTGTTTTTTGCCTTGAACAGGGCAAAAGGAACGAGAAGAAACGAGGTACTTCTACCACAGCGAATCTCTCAATCAATCCCGCTTAATTATCTACTTGTTATATACGAACTAGCCAATCAGGAGAGAGGAAGGAAAAGAGAACTAGTCGAAAAGAGGGAAATGTAAAACCTTGGTTTTCGATTTTGACCCCCAAATGGAACACGACTCGGCGCGCGGTAGTGCTGACAGAATCGTGGTTAGAGCAATTTAGCCTCATATGTAGTACCGAATTGGCCAATAGAATGAAGGTCTACGACTTAGCGTTACCTCTAAGTGGGTGGTATAAATGAATCTTTCCCGGTTTCACTTAGTGTTGACCGTGCGTTCGGAACCAATTGTTAGATAATCAATTCAATAGCCCTTCGGGGACTTTCTAAACACGGAGGAACTTGGCCCTAAGTCTGCGACGGATCGATTCACGCCATACGATGATAAATCTGTCGTGGTCAAAATGAAACACTCAGAGTATAAATACCGTAGAGCTTCTTGACAAGTTTTCATCAGAGTATCGAATTCTCGTTTGCTAATAACCTTGAGAAAACACTCATATAAAACAGTCGGCATCCTCTGGTAACTTCGAAGCCAATAACAATGTCTATCCCTTCTCACCCAAAGCTTGAAGGCTTTGATCTCATTCAGGCAACATACAAGCAGATTGGCGATCATGCCATTCGAGTGGACATACTAATTCCTCAAACACCCTATACGGGCAAACGACCGACTCTCGTCCGCACCCATGGCGGCGCCCTGGTAACTACCCACTAGCGCAATAAATATTACATGGTTATTAACAAGACATATAGGTTGCATGCGACTCACTATTCATGGATTTCTTTCCCCACTGGGCATCGGACCTAGCCCTCAAATATGGTGCCGTGATCGTTAGCCCCAACTACCGGCTGATGCCCGAATCCACAAGCTCAGAGATCTACGACGACATCGATGATTTCTGGAAATGGCTCCACTCACCAGTTCTGACCAATTTGCTTGCCAACCACACCACACCCACCGAAATTGACCTCACCCGCATCCTCACCACTGGTGACTCCGCAGGCGGTTTACTAAGCCTCTATCTCGCCCTGACCTATCCATCCCAGATCCGTGCCTCGACTGCGGGTTACCCATGGGTGAACCCCAGCTCAGCAGGCTTTCAGGCCCCGCGCACAACCTTACCATTCGGCGTACATACGCCTGAAAACGTCATCGACGACACCGTGGCTGCAGCAGCTTCTGGCCAGGTTGTGTCATCGGATCGCTCTCCTGCTCGGCTTGCGTTTATGCTTGCGGCTGTGGAGCATGGCCGTTTGGCTGGCTTCTATGAGCGTCAGGCGGAGGGGTCATCACGCCGAGAGCTGTTCTACCCTGCCAAGAAGCTGGAAGAACCGGGTATGAGTATCCCGCGGGGAGGAATTGCGATTTGGCATGGTCGTCAGGATACTGTGGTCCCTCTGGAGGACGTGGAGGGGTTTGTGGTGAGGTTACTTGAGGCTACTAAGGGCCTGCCGAGTGGCGATAAAGTTGTGCTGGCATTGCGGGATGGGGATCATGGTTTTGATATGGATAATCGGTATGAGGATGAGTGGTTGCAGAACGCTCTGAAGTCGGCGGTGGATGCTTGGTTGGAGTAATCGATTATACGAGGGGTGTATAATTGGGTATGTTCTTGATGTACCAATTAGTATAGATTAATAGTTCTTTGTGATGATTATGATATTTCATTTGACTACAAAACTCCCTCGCTTCGGCTCAGCAGCAATCCCCGACTCAGTACCGTGGACACAAACCTACCTTGTATGACACAAACTGAAAATAAAGATTCAATCCATAACAAAATACCCTAGGCTGTGTAAGCTCATCGCCACCATTATCCTATAGCATCAATGGGAAGGGCTATGACAACCAGCATGGCAACGCTATGAAAATCATACATTGGCCTTGAAGATTGTTTGGATTGAACTTATTTGTCCCGTTACTCTGAGACTCCAGGTTTCCTGATATACCCTTAGTGTGAAATGGGCGCAATATACTCTGTACAGCACTTCAATATCGTTATAATCGATGATTTACTAATGATCCTTCAGAATTGGTCAATAGGAAACTCTTCCGACAACATGGTGGCCTTAGCCTCACAACTAGCCCTAGAAATACTAGTAGCCAGGGTTTACTAAAGAAAGGCAATAATAACCGTTCACAGATTGTCTATGTATGAAATAAGTTAGATTCCTAATAATGCGCCCTTAACATCCCCTCCCAGCTGGACCCTCCACAGCCGATGCTCATTCAATGCGAATATTTCACCATTCCTGCCGAAGCAGAAATTCGCAACTCCGCCGTCAATCAGTATACGTCCGAGGAGGACACCTCCAGGGGACCAGACATTGACCCCGTCACCACAGCCGCTAAACACGTTGCCGTCTAGATCACACTTGATTCCATCAGGAATGCCTTTGTCGGCCATTGCGAAGAGTCTCCGGTTCGTAAGGGAGGGTTCGGCGTGATAGGTCGACACGTCAAATGCGTAACTAAATACCCAGTTCTAGTTAGTATCTCATTCCAAAGCCAGGTACATATGATTTGAATAGAAAGGTCATACATTGATGAAACCTTTTGGTCATCTATACTACCATCACCATGTAACCAGTGCGTATCAGTCACATAAACGGTCTTCTCATCAGGGGAAAAGCAAATCCCGTTCGGCTTTCCAAATCCATCAGCCATTGCCCGAATATTCCCATTCACTGGATTCCATCTGTATACTTGGCTTGGTAAAGAGGGCTTCGGCCGATACCCTTGTTCGAAACCATACGTCGGATCTGTAAACCAGATCGATCCGTCTGAGTGGACAATCACATCGTTCACGGAGCTAAATGGACGGCCATAGAAGTCTTCTTTCAGAAGTTTAGTGGTATATGGTGGTGTCGTGGACATAAGATATAATCCACTCGGCTGGGTCATAGACCCTTGTCCGCATATTAAGACCCCATCATCGCCGTAGTTGACCCCGCCGTTTGCGAGGGGGATCTGGGTTGGAATCTCTTCGCATTTGACTGGGGTTTCATTAAGATGGACGCGGGTGATCCGTACGAATTGTTCGCCTTGGGTGTTCCTGATGCGGCTACTGGTTATGAAGAGGTGGTTTGTGGAAGCAATAAAAATGCCTGCTTCGTGGGCAAATGGGCATAATTCGTTTTCTGCTAGTAATTCCAGCGTCGGAGATGGACCGAGAATAGAGTGAAAGCGCTCGTCGTGGACTTGGAATGTGCTTGAGAGTTTGGTCATGATGTACTGTGACTTTGATGGCCCTATTATACCGGGTGTAGTTTTCAGTCGGATTGAACTGGGAGTTGACAGGATTGAGATGCTGGTTAATGCGCTTTATGTGGTATTTAGTACGCCCTGGATTATTCTGAATATAGCCACCGTCAATACTTAAATACTCTTAATTGAGCGAGGCCAAATCAGTCAGTGGAAATATCTATATGGGAACCTTGCTTTGACGAAATGACAAAGGGCTTTAAGATAATGGGAAGCTCAACGAAAGTGAAGGAGAAAGGAAGACTGTCCTAGAGGGTCGAGGGAAATTATCGTTTTGAAGCTTCGGCCTACATAAGTCTAAAGGTGAATGGTGGATGATTCTATTCCTAAATCCAGATCCAGTATTTGGAGCCACTAATTCCCCTTCGAGGAACAATTGTATAAACAGCCCCGCCATCAGTGGGTCAAACCATCCCCACACCGGAGATACAGCGAAGCCCGTTAGACAACCCATGCAATCATTGATGTGCCTCAGATTATTCACAAGTGCTACCGTTTAACTAAGCACCACGCTAGCGTTGCTTACCATCAACGGAATGGACTGCCACCTGGGTAATAGTGTTTCCCAGAGATTGCGGATGTAGATTGTATGAACGATAAGACTACCTCTTCTGTTAACGTAGTGCATTAGGTCAAATACTGTCCTACAAGGTAGTCACTCGATCCCATCTTTGCGAGTAAGCTCTCCATAGCTTTGTTCAAACATCTGATGAACGGCTGGCCGGGGCGGGTAAAAGCCTCTATGTGCACTGATCGAAGCTTTCTTACGGAACAAGCCAGCGATGTGTGATGAGAAGTTACAAATTGCAAGAATGACAAAAGGCAAAACTTCCCTGATATATGAAAAAGAAAGAAAATAAAGAAATAAGGTAGACTGCCTACCCCGCATCTACAGATAAGATCAGCCTTTCCATTAATTCATTCTTACAAAGTTTCATGAAAAAAGATGCCTCGTTTCGGTGCACTTTCTTGGCAGACCCACACAAGTGTCTCGTCTCGGGGACCTGGGAAGCCCTAGAACGCCCTTCGTGTTCTTTATATGGAGAATCAACGCGGGGTTTAGGTTCTTGTGGGGCATGCAATGACATATGATTCTTTATGTGCATTATTCAGATGGCTTTGGTTAAGATGATGACAAGCTTGTTATAAGTACCCGGGAAAGGACTGCAACTGGGTCATCAGTTTTGTAACACTTTATCTCCTTTCCCTCAAGATCTACTGTCATGTCTGCCTCAACTGCTACAGAAGCTACCGGTGCCTCCCAGGCCTCCACCGCACCCCAGACACAAGTTACCTTGGGTTCGAAGGTGATTGCAAGTAAGCATATCGCATAGAAACCTCCCTCTGGATTCATCCCATTGACAGATTGTGATTTGTCCAGTTACCGGCGCGAACCGGGGCATCGGTCTAGGAATCGCAGAATGTTGTCTGTCTAACGGCGCAGAAAGAGTTTACTCCATTGATATCGGCGAGACAGGCGAAGAGTTTGTCGCACTCTCGGAGCGTTATCCGGGAAGACTTCACGCATTGAATGCAAACGTGACGGAAGAAGAGACGATCACCGCAGCTGTCGAGAAGATTATTGCAGAAGCAGGTGCAATACACGGTATGGTAGTAAATGCGGGCCGCACACATCATAAGGCAGCCTTAGATTTTACCAAGGAAGAGATTGAGAACTTGTTCAATGTCAATCTCTTCGGGGCGTTTTACACCGCGCGGGCGGCTGCACGTGCCTTTATTAAATTGGGTATCAAGGGTTCCATTGTCTTTACAGCTTCGATGGCTTCATACCGCCCTAATAAGGTAAGTGATTCCCTGCATAAAGACTATCCGTATATGCGACCAAGAACTAATGTACAAAATAGAGAGTACCCTCCACCCCATACGGTGCTTCAAAAGCGGGCATTCGCAACATGACCCATACCCTAGCCATGGAATGGGCTCAATACGGTATTCGCGTGAATAGTGTTTCTCCAGGTCTAGTAAAGACTGCTATGACGTATTGGGTGCCTCAGCAGCCGGACTGGGAGCAGCAGCTGAAGTACTATGGCGGGTTCCCTAGGCTCGCGGAGGTACAGGAGCTCGGTGGTGCATATGTTTACCTCCTCAGCGATGCGGCTAGCTATACGACATCCATTGACATCCCTGTGAATGGTGTTATTGGCAGTGAGTGACCATTCTTTCCAATGGTTCTTGCGATTTACTGACCATAGCAGTTTGTTGATCTGTTCTCATGTTGGAGTACCCTCGCTGGAGGAGCTGTGTATTCATGTATATAGGAGTTGAGCCACAAAAGATTCCCGCTCCACACAGGGTTGAATCACCTGAGTTGATATATTAACACATTTTTCAATTGGAACAGTGTGCACTGGCTTACATGGACCTCAGTTTGCATGGCACCAACGGCCCATTGATCAAGCGGCTAGAACCTGTATGTTTCGTCGGTGAAGAATCTGCAACCACCCCTCAGATGGATGCGTGTCCATTTCAGCCCATATTTCCTGCACAATACTATATTGTCTTCGGATACTCCCAATACCGTACTTTTGCACATCCAACCACCATGTTTCCCAAGGCTCTCGATCTAGGGCACAACATGATGCTATAAAGGCCGGCCAACTGATTGGGGCCATCTGGTTGGCGACATGCTTCGATTTGATTTCTTCAACAGCGAGCATATGAGAGGCAACTGTGGCAACCCCTTCTACTAAATCATGGGCTTTGACCCCTTGGATACAATTTAGGTAGAATATAAGAGCGGCACCATGCCATGCATGAGAATGATGTTTGAAGATATCAAATTCATCCGTGCCCCTGTCATTGAACGAGGGAACCTTATCGGAGGTCAAGGTCCAGGAAAGCAGGCGATCGCCAAGATCTTCACAAGCCTCGAGGAAATCATCCGGAATGGGCCCTTGTGCTTGGCGATAGTATTCTAGACATTCGTAGAGATCAGTTATTTCCTGGATGGCGGCTGCAATATCAGCTGTGATCCCGTAAGTGAACTCATAGCAATAGGAGCGATTATCATTTGTAGTCAGACTATCATGTCCCCTATGCGGCAACTCTCTGCTTGCAACCCAAGGCGATGGAGTACAACGAGAGGTAGTGCGGGCAAGAAGATTCAAGAATGCACTTTGAGTATTCAGCTGACGAGTGTCTCCGCTTATAAATTGCCATTTGCGGCGAGGGCCTTGAAAATTGGCTATCCCTTGAAGGTGAACACGGAAGTCGATGATGCTTCCTTCCACCACCTGATCGAATGTCATTTAGGTTTAAGTCTTTTCAGGTAGATAGTATGTAACATACTCCAATTGTGATCATAGAAAGAAGTGCGACCAAAAGAGTCTTATAATCAAATAGCGGTACCTCGTGCATCAAAACCATTTGCAGGGACTCTAGTGCAAGTTGCCGGTGGGTGATGCCCACGTGATGATACTCAGAGTTGGACTCATAGCACTGATGTAGATGGAAGGCGGAAGTGGACATAAGTGAATGGAATATGCACAGTCCAATATTCGGGGCTGCATTAAAAAGCCCGGACTCGAAGTACAGCGATCCTTCAAGTGCTGCCGGGGCATACAACGAGCGATAGGGATTTCCTGGGTGCGAAACTGGCAGAAGTATATCAGCAACATTTGTAACATAATGGTGAAAGAGCTTGTTGGTTTTCCAGCTGCTCGATAGAAATATTTGCGGTTGCAGTACTAAAGAAAGTTCGGAATTTGGTAGAATATCCGCACTCCAGGGAGCCACATCATTGACATCCTCCGGTGAAACAGTCTGCAATCCTTGATTATCATGAGCAAAGCAAGATTCGAACTCTGATTCGGTATGCTCATCATCTTGAGTACGTGCGGGCTTTGAGAGTAGTGACAACGTATCAAGCGGGGTCACGCCAGAATTTGGAGGCAACGGTGGGACCCGATAGTTCGGCCCATTTGAATTTGACTCGCAATCGTGTGTCCCTTCTGGGGAGCCCTCCACAGTTGCTGCACCATTTGAATGCCGCGATAGTGCCTGCTGGGATGGTGAAACGGGAGATGTTTTGTGATTGCTACGGATTTGATCTACAGGGAATACTGAAAAAGGGCCATGTGTTGTCGACACCCCTCGGTCTGCGTCCTCACTTACTCTAGTGAGAAACTCATCGATTTTGTCTGCCTTGAATTGAAGGATACTAGTCCAGCCTTAAATAAAATCTGAGCATGTGATGCATGAACCAGAAGAGGGTGCGATTGAAGTTGCTAACTCACCTGCACCAATGCGCCTCCTTCCGATCCGTGCAGAAAGATCCCTGTGGGGCCGACGACCTGCATCCGAGGAAATCCATTGCAATTGGATATCATATCCACCACAGGTTATTCCGAGTCGTAGGCAGCTTGCGCAGCCCAGTGGGTTCTCGTCACATTTAACCTTCCGGGCCTTGCAGGTCCAACACCTGATCAATGTCAGTAGATGCAGTACGGCGCACGCTGCCCTACTGACCCTGAAAATGTGATATGTCTGTGCTTTCTTTCGCCCATGATATCTCTGGTTTCGGCATGGCTAATACGAAGTGATTCACGTCCAGCAGGCCGGAACGTGGGGAATCTTTCTCCGAGATCAGGTGATTTATGCCCGTCGCCGATCAGGAAATGGCGGGGTTTCTTATCACGCCCGTGATATAGCCCTAGCAATCCTTAACAGAAGGGTTCTTGGTCCCTAAAGGAAGCTAGGTGCAGCGTTTCAATATGATCTTCTCACTTCCTTGTAAGAGTTACTTGAGATGAAGATTTTCCTCTGTTACCAGTTTCTTGGGTCACCATCGACAAGGGAAATTGATTTCGAAGGGCTCCATGTATTATGCCAAGCCTCAGCGCCTGTCGTTTTTCCTACAGTTCCCCAAGTTAACAACATAGAATTTGCGCTTCATAACCAAATCCTAAGTTAAGACTGTTGTGGAGATAGTTCCTCCTCATGATATACCGGTGCAAACTACTTCACGACCAGCAGCTCAGAGATTTATGAAAATACGAATACCATGATCAGAAGGGGGCTGCAATGGAAGGGCGAGTATGTTATACTGAGTTGGCCAGCTTACAGGGCGAAAGTTTTGTTCCAAACGAAAGGAAAAGCTTTCCAAGAACTGGGGAGCTCTTGGATAAATACGCATTTAGATGGTGTTTGTTGCTCCTTAGCCGTTATTCTTAGTATTTCTTTTTTCCTTCTCTCCTTTCTCATGTCTCATCTGAACTTATCTACCGGCTCAAGCTGAAGCCGCCAGAATCAAAAAGACGAAGTGATGGGTGAAGCGCTTACCTTTACACCTTTCGATGTCAGCTGCTGCAGCCTGTACCTTAGCATTCTCGGTGATGTAACGATAGTTAGCTGTCGCTTTATGTCATTACAGGGCAAGACTTAATGAAGTAGGATTTCCGTGCTACAACATTGAACCAATCCAGCATTCGGGTATTGCAGAGGTCAGGAGAGTCGAGGAAAGTTGTCTTTCTCTACCACTGAGAGATACTTTGGCTGTCAAGGCTTATTCATTCGGCGCCAGGAATAGGCTGCTCGGCGGTTTCACCCTGGTAGTAAGCGTACCGACAAGCATGATTGCAGCGAGTTATGTCCTTAGAGCCCTCATAACTATTTAGAGATGGTTAAACTTTGTGTAAAAGCGATGTAACTGGAATGGCTAGTCCTCTTCCCTAGGTTACGTTTCGGTGGTATATGACTACAGATGCAGTGGGATTCGCCTTTTCAACAATATATATATAGTAAGGTTGGTGGAAATTTTGACGAGCTGAAGACGCGGGATCCCTGAACCCGATAAAGAGTGGCAGAACCTAATCAGATGTATTATTTTCAACACTGGAAGTAATATTGGCGCAGAAAGCTGGCAGTGGATTAGAGGTAGCAGAAGTTCCAAGCACCTGCAGCTAAGGGGGTTGGCTGGTTAATTTGTACCTGATGTCGACTAATACTAATAAATGACATTCCTACGAAGGCACTTATCAAAGAGCCACACCACCGAGTTGAAACACGACGATACATGAGCGTGGGAATTCTTTAAATACAAAATTGGCTCGTGTTCATTGAGCGGAACGAAATTTATAATGTTAAAAGGTGCGACCGCTGGAAGCTACGCTTTTCGACTACACAGCGTAGCTTGTCCCTCCTAGGACGATCAATCATCTACTCTTGCTTTCTTACATACAGGACTGCAAAGATGAAAATTACTTCCACTATACTTCTTCCGTAACCCTTATCTGCGCTCCTTTGTCCATGTCCAAATGTTCATTCCGATCTTAGTCCCCGACAGAACGGGCATGCCAGCATGAAGAGTCTCTGGATGCACAGTCCCATCCGGTCGAATGTTCTCCCAGAAAACAGCATTACCAGCGATAGGCTTGAAGGTCACACCTGGCAGGTCCGAGTCACAGTCAATGAATTGGCACCACCTCTCATCGTCCGGTCTCGGCAAGTAGGGAAAATGGGTTCCGCCCCCAGTGCAGTTCGCCTGTAAAAACACATTCAATGTGGTCTTACGGTCTTTTTTGTGGGTTTCCCCGAAAGCATCGTAATGGTGTGTAAAGAAACCGTTTTCTTCATATCGCTGCACAGAAATAGCTTCGATTGTCATCCCAGGCTCCCACTCCTGGCTTTTGCGTGCGCGTTGTTCTAGACACCGAACTACATCATCTCGGTCCGGGAGGGCTGTGTGGGATTTTCTGGAGCTCTGATCCACTTGTGTTTGGCCAGAGCCATAGACGAAGGCGGGGGCAAAGTTTGGTCCGCTAGTTAAGTAAGACATAAGAAGAAAGTCCAATCAATTGCTTTTGGGCGGACAAACCTTTGCTGAATCAGATGACGAGCCTCATCGTCGTTGACAAAAGAAGCCACGTAGACCACTGGAGGATTCTGGCTGAACAGGTAGGACTGGTAGGGCTGAACAGGGCATTGCAATGAGACATCTGGCTCAACAAAGACCATGGAGGCAGTGGGATCCTCTGGGACGGCGGTGTCGAACGTTGAATCAAAGCCAAATGATGAAGATATTGATCCAAGTCCATCATTCTGGGCGAGCGACTGCTGACCCAGAGCAATGAGAAGATACATGAGAGAATGAAGCATCTTGCGAGGTTGACCCAAGCCCAAGTATCTTGGGTGTTTTGAAAAGAGCGCGAATAAATCACTGGTGTCTGGGACTAGGACCCTTCGAAGAGAAAGAAAATATAAACAAGTCTAGGGGCATTTCGAGGGAATTTCTTATTCCAAATCGAGCTGTGGAATTGGGCCCAAGACAATTTTGGTCCGCTCATCGAGTCTCACTGTGGCCCGCCGATCTTGTCGATCTGTGGGAACCATCGATTTAATTTATGATACGTTCGGTTTGCGGGAACCCCCAGATCCACCGCTTCGCCCCGACCCGAGCGTAGCCTTAGCATACACCTTGTCGAAATTTGCCTCTTGCAAGGGAAAGTTAGTTCATATTTCAAAAGCTTAGGCGTAGGTCCTTAAAAGTGCTGCTCTTTTTCAAGGGGTTGGATTTGTTTGACTACCGAAAACACAAAGAGAAAAACAAAATAACAATTAAGAAAATGGAAGATTAAGGTTTTCTGCCTTGACCCAATTTAAAACTATTAAGGATGGCCCCAAGTAAAGCGATACGAGAGGGCGACAGTCGAACAGATTGAATTGAGCGTGGAATTCTCCAGAGACTTTCATGTAATATAGCGCAGTAGTAGTAGTAGTGTGACATTGACAATGGTTTAATTTACATGGCAATGCGCTTCTAAAACCAATGGTGAAACCGAAACCCCCTCCCTCACCTCAAAATCCTTGGAGGCATTGCCCTGGTAACATGTTGGAAAGCCCTGGATGGATTGAAAACCGGGCCCTCCGGGGCATAAAAGTCCTTTAACACTCGATGGTAACTGTAGGCTGGGAGCAGATGTTGGGGACACATCCATAGGGTTTGCCATCCTCACGGAACACAGGCACGGTGCCAGGCTTCTTACTGGCACAAACTGCCTTGGCGGCGCTGACCGTAGCCGGGTCGAGGGCGGGAGTTGAAGGGCAAGTTGGAGGCGCAGGACAAGTTGGACAAGCTGGGCATGAGGGTTGGCCGGACCCGGACCCAGACCCGGATCCCGACCCAGATCCCGACCCAGACCCATGGTTAGGGATTGGGAGGTTGATTGGGATCCACGGCATTTGAGCCTGGGCAATGCCAACGAAGCAAAGACAAGCAAGAGTCTTCAGGCTGACCATGTTGTCGGAGAGGTAGTCTGAGAGATGATTCAATTAGTTCAGGAGCCACAGTGACGACTGCCAAAGGTCATACTTGCGTGAGAGAAGAAAAATAACTTGGTAAATGGTTGAAGGCTGATGGAAACTGGATCGGAAGCTGGGATTCACGAGTTGAAGGTAGGGAACAATGCGAATTTATATATCTGATGGAGGTTGCTTGGCCCTCAGCGCGAGACACTAGTTCCACTAAATTTTGCTGTAGCTGAACTGTCTCAATCCCTTGCAGCAATTTCAACTCTGTCGAGAATGCAAACTAACGCATCTATCGGAAGATAGCCTTCAATAGATGAGCATCCTCAGCCAGCCACTGAGGACTGCTACCGGGAAGAATACTGCGTAATATAATCGAATCAGCTCTAACTGTGGCAGAGTGAGCAAAGATCGTCCCGATCCCTGTGGGTATGTTCGGATATCATTTCCTTCCACGAATTTTGCCACAGTGGTTCTGACGATTCCACACGCGATCTGAAGGCCGAGATATTGACTTGAGAACTTTTTCATTATTACGATCAATATTTTGCGAACCCAGTTAATTCAGGTAATTCGTGTTCTTGAAATCAAATAAATGGGCGCTTTTGGAAAGTCAACTCCGATTTGTGAATTCCTCTAATGGTGGGCAACTCCTAGCCATGAGTCTCGTTATCAATGTCCCTGCATGCCGGCGATTAGGAACACAACGGCAATCGGGAGATCAGCCAGATTGTGCAACACAAGGGTAGATGTATCATATCCGCTTATGCAAGGTCCACTGCACCGGTGAAGGTCTAAGACAGATCACAGTGCTTTTGGTAACATTCTTCGGTCAGGATCTAAATTGATCGGCGCTGTTTGGTCCAATCAAATGGGGCCTCCCGTTCCATACCTATACTAGGATTTTGGTTCTGCTAAAGGTTTGTTCATCTCAGTCAAAAGCCTTGCTTTGGGACCAGGGAGATCGCTGTGACAAATTATCCCTCCAGACCCAGGGCCTTAGCGTAAAAGACGGCCATTTGACACAGCACAAGAGATCTTCATGGTGATCCACTCGAGATATCACGGGACGCATTGACCCACTCTGCTATTGCATACCGTCCATGTATCAAGAATTTCAACCCGAGGTAAAATTAAGGAAACAGGGGCGAACTGGGAAGACATGCGAGGAAGGGAGCAGTACGAAATTGACATTTATTCGTTGAGGGCTAATGGTATAAAATCGCATCAGATCCAACAGCGCCAGGTTAACAGACTATCCTAGAGAATAAGCATATGTTCTGTTTTCCATAGCAAACATGGTACCCAAAGATGCTAGCTTCTTGTCCTTCCTTGCCTTTCTGTTAGTCACTCAAGGAGTGTTTTCTCAGAATCAGCCTGTTTTCCCGCAGCCTGCAACAGGTCTTCAGGCGGGCTCGAGCCAGCAGCCTGTGTTCCCCCAGCCAGGTGTTCAACCTGTCTTCCCTCAACCGGGTGGTAGCCAGCAACCTG